AAAATACAGACATCAACTTACTATGCCAGTGTACTGGCACAGCTCCCTTATGAATCCTCAGGACTAACGCACCATTACCCTTCTTCTTACTATACTTATACATGCACAACCAAGGCAAACACTGCATTCTGAGCCATCCCTAAGACCGCATTTCCCGTAAGAGCAGCCCCGTTTGGATCCACACAGGTGGTATACTCAGTCATTCCACCAGGGGAGATCCTCGCCCGCTTAGGAAAATGAGCTTCTGTATTCTGCTTTGGAGGCCTGGATTGTAACCATCTACAGGAAATAGAGCCAGTGTCATGCATTCAGTTTAACTGGCATGAAAATGGCATCACTTTCTGTAGAAATGTGCATTTTTGACTTATCAACAAGGTCTAGGGTACTAACAGAATTTTTTCATCCTTGGAGTACTCCCCCATACAATCAGGGAGAAGCTGCAGACTGGACAGGCGTCAACACTATTTAGAGAGTAGCATGGGCAGAAGGGATCAATTTAGCTTCTGTGACCTCAGCTCTGCTCAGCTCTCTCCCATTCGCATCCCCAAGGTGGGAAAGCAGAGCCCTCCTGAGTCTGAACTGATTTAAACTTGGGGATAGCTCATAGATTTGGCCTTGTAGCAGAGAGAATATTATTTATGGGAATGGTGAGGTGTCTATGCAGCACAGCAATCTGCTCAGAAACTTCTCGGAAGAAATCTAAATGGATGAGGGGACCAAGAAACATAGATCTTTGAACAAAACCCAAAAAAATCATTCATGATAAAAAATGTGTCCTATTATGGCATTTCCCTTTATCCCAAATAGCTCCTTTACAACAGAAATTTGGATAAACACTTTTTGCTTTGCAGAATTTGATTAAGTCATCCCATATGTATATTTTAATAAGTTAGTGTAGTCTGGTGGGTCCTGTTGACCACACCGTGTTTTTCAACTCAGTTCTCCAGAATCCTTTCTACCCAATACAGTCTACTGATCCAAAGACTCCCTCAATAGCTGGCATCAAATTGACTTAGTGCTGTTCCAGTTGACCCCAGTGTGGAATGAAAAAGAGAAAAATTGAGTGGAAGTGAAAACTTCCCTGACTTTCAAGGAAAAATTAAATGTCTTAAAAAATTTTCCCTTGGGCCTGGCGCGGTGGCGCAAGTGGTTAAAGGTCCTCGCCTTGCACGCCCGGGATCCCATATGGGCGCCGGTTCTAATCCCGGCTGCTCCACTTCCCTTCCAGCTCCCTGCCTGTGGCCCGGGAAAGCAGTCGAGGACGGCCCAAAGCTTTGGGACCCTGCACCCGCGTGGGAGACCCGGAAGAGGCTCCTGGCTTCGGATCGGCATAGTATTGGCCCGTTGCGCTCACTTGGGGAGTGAATCATCGGATGGAAGATCTTCCTCTCTGTCTCTCCTCTCTGTATATCCGCCTTTCCAATGAAAAAATAATAAAAACAAATCTTTAAAAAAAAAATTTTCCCTGATAATAATGTCAAACATCTTTTTATGTTCTTATTCCCTTTATATGTCTTCCCTGGAGAAATATCTATTCAGATGTTTTGCCCATTTTAAAGTTGAGTTATTGATCTGTTCATTATTAGGTTGCAAATTTTCTTTCTGCATTTTACATGTAATGTCTTCATGTAATAGCTGATTTGCCAAAAGTTTCTTCCATTTCATAGCTTTCCTCTCACTCTTAGTGACTTTTGATATACCAACAACATTAATGTTGATTAAATCTGGACCTGTAGCAAATAATCACCATCACATGGTTTAAGAATGTAGGCTACTTGGCACAGTGTTTAAGAGAAATAACTCCCAGGCCAGACAGTCTAGGTTTAAATATGGAGTCCTTATGTGCTAACAATGTGATATGTAGTAAGTCAATTACATTTCTGTCACAATTCTTTGATTTATAATAATATTACTCTATGGAGTTATATTATGATTTAAATGAGTCCTTCTTTGCTTAGTAAGAGTGTCAAAGCTAAGTAGTGTTGGCTTGGGTTCACCAGGAGCTAAGAATTTATATGCTATTATTTCATTAAGAAAAAATGTCCATGGGAATAGAGTGAATGACAAAGAAATTAAAGCTAACAAGCCTGTCAAAAAAACAACGGGTACAACATCAACCTTGCTTGATCTTTGGGACTATTTGCCTTGACTAAGTCTCATGGTTGTCCCTCTTAGGGTAAGTTTGATACCAAATTCCACTTTCACTAGTGGAAGCTTTTTTTCAGTTGGGACTACCTCCTCAGAACTTCCAGGTTGTCCATGTGTAAATTTGAACAGCCGGTAAATTCTGTCTCACTCTTGGATGAAATCAACAGAGAAGTCCCAAAGTCAGATGTGAGAGAGGCTCCTGACAGAATATGATATACCGTTTAATAACAATATTGTATGACTTATATATAATAAACAAGTATTTCTGTAATTAATTTGGGAAAGTAGAAAAATAAGCAAAATACTACGAAACTATTGCCCTGAGAATTGGGAGTAACAGTGCAAACGATCAATCGCTCAAGTTTCCAGTTATTATATGGTAAGTTTCATTGGAGCACAGAATCCTGGGTTAATCGTTCTCTCTGATTCTTTCTGCCCTGTACACAGATGAGCAAGTGTGGACTTCAGAGGAGAATAGCAGTTGCAAAGCCCCACTCACTGGGGATGTTGTTCTGTGTTGTAATGGTCCTCTGCAGTCGGCTTTCAATCGACATGATCTTTCAGTGAACTCTAAACATGAGCAAGGAACATCTATTGTATCTTTGGAAGTAGTGAGCCTGCCATTGTAAGAAGAATGACTGAGGAGCTAATTGTGGTCCTTTCTCTTCATAGGAATAATAAGTTAGTGGATAAATGCAAGAACGTAACATATTCCTGTTCATTAACCAAGGTTATTGACTATCAGGTGTTCTTTGACCTTCCCTACCTCACCTGTCCAATTCCACGCCACAATCCACAGTAGCCAGTTATAGCTTTGCTATGATGCTTTCCATGTGCAAACAAAATCAATACATTTGTATGCCCATTTATACCTCTCTTTTGCAAAAAAAAAAAAAAAGTGTTGGATAGTAAATTCAGTACACTTAACAAGAAACCTTGGGGATTATTTCTAATCATTGCAGAAAGAATGTCACCCTTTGCACAGATGTGTAACATTCCATTTTTTAGATAAATAATATTTTATTTGATCAGGTCACCTATTGATATTCCATCCAGTATCAACATTGTGCTGTTACAAAAATGCTGTAGTGGGTAACACTGAGCCTTAGGATGAGAAATGGAAGTTAGTTGACAAGGAGAGGAGAGGTTGGGCAATGCTGGAAATGTGGCATCAGGGCAATGCTGAGGAAATATGGATTATAACATGGCCAGCTTGAGGTTTGTGAGGGAGTGGGGAAAGGGGAACCCAGGAAAGAATTGCAGAACCGGAGCTGTCAAAAGAGGAACACCAACCGGAATGAGCAAGAAAGCAGGAAGGAAAGCATGAATAACAGAAGGGAACAGAAGCGAACAGGTGTCATGGAATTCAAAGGGTTTCAAGAACATGAAAAATGCTGGGAGAAGTACCAAAGGCTGCTTCTTCCTCTACCTCTCTGCCTGCACCTGCCTCAAACTCAGGACCACTGAAGGTCAGCCTGCCTTTCTCTCCTGAGCTCCCAGAACTCAGATCTTCAACCCTACCTTCTTTGTAGAAGGCAACAGCATCCGACAACTGCTAAGCAAGAGAAGAGCTCCTATTTAGTTCTTCCTATACCATGAAAAATGCCACCAATAAGACGTGTGTCTAAATTAAAAAGAACCACCCCAGGGTGATAAAGGGGTCCACAAGTGTGAAATGAATGAACTCCCCAAACTCCAGCAGCCTAGAAACCAGACAAGCACTAAGGGAAAGGGAACTGTACTTGGGGTAGAAATCAACAGTGTATCCTCAATCCAGAGCAGTAAAAAGAGGCTTTGCACAGCCAGTGGTCACCAAACACTGAATAACTTCAAGAACCTAGGATTATGTAGTCATTCGATTCTACTGTCAACAAACACTTGTGCTGGCTATTCCTGCTCAGAAACCTAAATATTGGGCCTAGTGGCTAAATCCTTATCTTGCATTGCCGGAATCCTATATGGACATCGATTCATATCTCAGCTGTTCCACTTCCTACCTGTGGCCTGGGAAAGCAGTTGAGGATGGCCCAAAACTTTGGAACTCTGCATCAGTGTTGAAGATCCAAAAGCAGCTCCTGGCTCCAGCCATTGCAGCCACTTGGGGAATGAACCAATGAGTGGAAGATCTTTCTTTCTGTCTCTCCTCCTCTCTGTAAATCTTTTCAATAAAAATAAATGAATCTTTAAAAAGAGAGCTACATATTACAGTATATCATATATATTGTATATATTACAGTATAGGCAATCTATGGCTTAGTGATATAGACACTGTGAAATTCCGACTGAATCCCTGACTCCTGACTTTGGGCAGTCCCAGCTGCTGCAGGCGTTTGACTGATGAACTCGTAGCTGTAAGATCTCTGTGTCGGTATCTATATCTATCTTTTTTCTGCCTTCCAAATAAATTTCTGAAGCTTTCTTGTGAAGTGTATCAGAACTTGAGAAAGGTATGCATCTCTTAAAAACAATAAAGTGAATTTTCAGCAACAACGACCTTAACTTCAAAGTCCTCTGCTGAATACAGTCGGAATACAGCAGACAGGCCAGACCTCTCCACGGGCCAGGAGTTCTGAGCTCTTCACTGTCACAGGAAATGGCTCAAATGTCTCCTTGCCAGAGCCCCTTCCCATCATCACCTCTGCAACAGGACAGCCTCACCTCCACCAGCACACACCTGGTCGGCTGTCCTCTTCTTTCTGCTGCTTTGCATCAAACTCTCAGCACTCAGGGCTGAATGCCAGAGATTCAAACTGGTGCTCCTGGATAGGAAGCCAGCACTGCAGATGACAGCTTCAGCCACTATGCCACATTGCCAGCACCACCCACACTGAATTGTAAGTGCCTGGAAGTAGGTTGTATCTTGTTTGCTTCATCTTTCTTTGTAGCCACAGTGTTTTATACATGCTGTGAGTATTTTAAATCAGAATACCAACGAATAAGTTAAAGGGAAAAAAACCAGTTTAGGAATAAAGACAATCAGCCTGACTAGCTTTTTCCTCTATTCACTTCTCTAGCGTGGACTTCAGAGTCATGTCTGTTGGCACCAGGGACCACTTCTATCTTCAACATGCCTGTTTCAGCTCCGGCTGGTCAGCTGCGCATTCTCCCCGGATGTCCTCAAATGCTACATTTCCATGAGCTGCTTGAGCTGAGGTATAAAAGTTAAAAACTAATTCCCAAGAGTAAAACAGAAAAGTGGCATAAAAATGAGGCGAGGGATGGGCACTTGACTTGGCAATTAGAACATTGGTCGGAGGTCCATGTCCTACTTAGTCAAACGCCTGATTTGAGTGCAGTTATGCTCCTAATTTCAACTTCCTGCTAATGTGTGCCCTGGAAGGAGCTGGAAAACCTGAGAAATCCATTGTTTAATACAACTGTATCCTCCTGTAGAATACTTCAAAACAATCTTGTGACTAACTATACAAGTGCAAGTTTGTGATAATTGACCCAATTTTTCAAAACAGCTGAGTTTTTAATTATGGTGATCATAAGGAATGTGATTACTATGCTAAATGGGCTGTGTGTTCTTTTCAAAGCAATGACAGAAATTACAAAGCAAATCACATACACTGATCTCAACAGACTGCCTGCCTCTCAGAGCCTCTCATGCTCACAGTTCCCAGATCTCCTTTTAACAGAAACATTAGTTAGAGCATATAATAGATGCATGACATGAAAACTTGAAAGCTCATTCTTGAGAAACAGGTTCAACATGCCACAAAGATCTGCATCAGTGAAGCCCACACTGAAAACCTTGGCAACTATTTCTGGGATCTGATACTTGGCAATGTTCTGATTTTTACAGTGCTTACAGGAAAATTGATTTTAAAACAATCCCTTATAAGAATAAACTAATGATGAGGATATCCCAAGGCTTTGGGATCCTGTGCCTGCGTGGGAGTTCCAGGTGAAGCTCCTGGCTCCTGCCTTTGGATCAGCTCAGTTCCAACCATTGTGGCCACTTGGGAAATTAATAAGTAGATGGATGATCTTTCTGTCTGTCCTCTCTGCAACTCTGACTTTCCAATAAAAATGAATAAATCTTTAAAAAAAAAAAAAGAATAAACTACAAACTCTTAGCAAAATCTATCTTAAAAAATTAAACAATCAAATTGTATGTAAAGAAAGGAGACAAAATATCTATGTCCTTCTCCTCATCTGCTTAATCCCCTGATCCATTTCCTAGGGCTAAATATTAAAAATTAAAAATTGTGCCCAAATAAACTCCTTCTCTCCTGAGTATTCACCTTTTCAGCGGTATCAATACTTACTTATGGTGTTGGAAAAAGCAGAGAAACACTAAGAAAACCAGTCACGCCAACACAATAGTTAGCCACAATTTCTGTTGAAGTTTCAGTTAACCTAGGCCCTCACAAAGGTTGGGACCAGATACCCAATGTGTTCTCCATAGATCGTGTTTGATCAGTTGCGAGTTAACTGTGTCCGTGGAGCTTTGGGTCGGTTTATGATGTGTTAATAATGCTGTTGATCCAAGGAAGGTAACTGTAAACATCAGTGAAGACAGTGATGTATCCCCTCAGAGAACATCCTGTTTCCCAAGACATGATCCCGTGTAACTGGCTGCCACATATAGCTGGTGCAGCTTTGAACTCCTACCAAAGAAAAGGACAAGAGATCATCGGGATTGTCCTTCAACCTGGAAAATCCTTACAACAAAACCCAAGGTCCGAACAAAATCCGAAGAAAACCCAAGGTCACTATGTTTGTCACACATAGAGTCCCAGTACATAAGAAAAAAAAAAAAATCCACCACCCTGATTAACACTACTTCCCGATCATCCCTCAGACGGACATTCCAGGGCGGGGGCTGCAAGGCAGCATTGCATTCTCAGATTTTTTTTTATTTTTTTTTCTTTCCAATGCATTTTTCTTTCTTTTTTTTTTTTTGTTATTAACATAGTATTATGTGATACAGTTTTATAGGCACTGGGGATTCTCCCCACCCCTCCCACACCCCTCCCTCCATAGTGGATTCCTCCACCTTGCTGCATAACCACAGTTTCAAGTTCAGTTGAGATTCCTTCATTGCAAGCATATACCTAGCATAAAGTCCAGCATCTTATTGTCCAGATAAGTTCAGTGGCCTCTTGGGGAGACCTTCTCTGGTCTGAAGGTAGAGCTAACAGAGTAAAGTTCCGGTCAGTTAAAATCCCCAACAAAACATCAGCATCAATATACAACATTATGGAATTAATTGACATAGTATTGAGTAAACAATATGTCAAAATAATGCAAGTTCCATTCTCAGATTTTATTTCCATCTCTAACACAGGGTGGAGAGGAGAAGGCTACTCTTTCAACCCTTCACTGTGAGCAGAATAATCAGAATACTCAGCCTGATGTAGAATGCAAGCCCTTCATAAAGGTAACAGAGTTTAAAAAAAAAAAAAAAGTAGAGGTTGAGCTAATGAGCAACGAAATGACTGAAGTTACCTGGCAGTATTCTTTGTTTCCTAGTAGAAATCCCGCACAGAACGTGCCTTTGAGGAATTTCTCTTTCAGCAATTTGGCGCAGTTTGCATCAGAATGCCTTACAGTTTTAACAGTATGCTGGATTAACTCTGAATTTCCTATGCACAAGAAATTAAAAAAAAAAATTACATTTCTGTTGGCTTTTTCACAAAACATCCCGCCTCCACTTCCTCCCTCAAGGTTTCTTTTCAGACTGGGTATCAGAGGGAGAAGCACTGGCCCATGCCACAGATGAGTTTATCTCCAACTGAAGCATAAAGGAGTGATGGGCGGGGAGGTATTCACACACATTTGACCAATATCTGAATTCAGACTCTTCCATCACCAAGTTGATGATCTGGGTCAACAGATCCGTCTCCCCAAGTTTCAATTTCTTCATGTATAAGATACAAATATTAAGAAATCTGTATCAGTGAAGTTTATATAATACATGTAGAATACTTACTGCAGGGTATGTAATCAGTGCTTCCTGGATTATACACACCATTGTTATAACTGATAACATCAAGAACCAATACATGAATATGCAACTCTGAGAAACAGTCTCCTGTAATATACACCAATGTGGCTCACACAAGTAACTCTTCAACAACGGACTGATTGCCAAAGTCTTTCAAGAGAGCATCCCCTCTACTCAATACTGGCTTTCCTTTCCTAGTTTTCCACATGTTTTACAATTTGATACCAAGCCTGAAAATTCATTTGCCTCCTAACTCCTCAAATATTTGGAAATTTTTAATCTCTCTTAGGAAAACAACTAAAATGTATTTTGGATAATCACTCACCATTAAATTCTTTATTTGGTATCCAGGTAGGAATTAAGCAACTACTAACTTCATGTGTGTCCAAAGTAGGCAATTGAAATTCCAGGTTGTAGAAGAAGGAGAGATAAACTGACAACTTAATCAGCATAAGGTCATTTTTAGGGGAAGTGGCAGTGAAGTTTGGGTGAATTATGATCTTCTCATAGGGGAGTATTTCCCCAGAAAATTTTTTAATGTTTTTAGAACCACCATGAAAGAAAATCTGAAGATCTCTGGAGGGTGAAGGAGAGAGAGAAGATATATAGCTGATATTAACACAGAGGAAAAGACTAATCATACTATATGTATACACAATTTCCCTTGATCAGTAATGCATGTAGCTCTTTTCCTTCGTCTCTGCTCACATGATCCTTTATCTGTAACTGCCACCTATGCATAAGTACGCAGTAAGTTATAAAATTCGGTGGGTTGGGGCCAGCACGTTGGTTCAACTGGCTAATTCTCCACCTCCAAGCGCTTGCATCCCGTATGGGCACCAGTTCATGTCCCAGCTGCTCCACTTCCCATTCAGCTTTCTGCTTATGGCTTGGGAAGGCAGTAGAGGATGGCCCAAAGCCTTGACCCCCTGCAATGATGTGGGAGACCCAGACAAGATTCCTGGATCCTGGCTTCTAATGTGCCCCATTGCGGTCACTTGGGAAATGAAAATAAAAGATCTTTCTCTCTGTATCTGCTTCCTTCTGTAAATCTGCCTTTCCAATAAAAATAAATAAATCTTTTTTTTAAAAAAAAAAAAAGGAATTCAATAATTTAATGTGATATGAGCGGTGCCTTTAGGAAATAAGCAATGCAATAACTTGACCCCTAACTCATAATTCCAGAAAGCAGCTCACGTTCAAGACCCAGAAGCAGATAGAAGAAGCGTAGAAGTAGACGATTGGAGCTAGCATGGTAGCCTAGTGGCTTAAGTCCTCACCTTGTACCTGCCAAGATCCCATATGGGCACCGACTCTATCCCGGCAGCCCTGCTTCCCATCCGGCTCCCTGCTTGTGGCTCAAGGCCTTGGGACCCTGCAACCCGTGTGGGAAACCTGGATGAGGCTCCTGGCTCCTCGCGTTGAATCAACTTGGCTCTAGCCATTGTGGCTGCTTGAGGAGTGAATCAGCAGATGGAAGATCTTCTTCTCTGTCTCTCCTTTTTTCTGTGTGTCAGATTTTCCAGTAAAAATAAATAAATCTTAAAAAAAAAAAAAGTAGATGATCAAGTCTGTGAATGTAGTAGCTTCTGTGAAAGAGCCTCTTTTGAGAACAGAAAGAGAAACAAATGTGAGAGTATACTTAAGAAATCAACAGCAGTCACGGGAATGAAGGAAGTAGAGCGGAAGGGTGAAGGAAACCCTATACCTGCAAAAATGTATTATGAAAAACAATTTTTTAAAGATTTATTTTCATTTTTATTGGAAAGTCAGACATACAGATAGCAGGGGACACAGAGAAGAAGAGCTTATGTCCATTCACTCACTCCCCCAGCAGCTGCAATGGCCAGAGCTGAGTCGATCTGAAGCCAGGAGCCAGGAGGCTCTTCACAGTGTCCCTTGTGGATGCAGGGTCCCAAGGCTTTGGGCCATCCTCAACTGCTTTCCCAGGTCACAAGCAGGGAGCTGGATGGGAAGTGAGGCTGCTTGGACTAGAACCAGTGCCTAAATGGAACCCTGGCACATGCAAGGCAAGGACTTTAGCTGCTTGGCTACCATGCTGGACCCTGGAAAATAATTTTAAAAGGTGATTCTAAAGCTAATGGAGATTAAAAATAAACAATTAAATAGTTTCTAATTTTAAAACAACAAAGAAAGTTTAAATATTTCAAGGCAAAGGCACATCATTTGAATATACACTACTCATTTCTCCATTAAAATTCTCTGAAACAAAGATGTTTTCCTGATGACCCTTTAGTGAAACAGCGATCAGCCATTCTGGATATTCCACTGAAATCCAATTGAAATCTACTCATTAACAGGCACTGAAACTCCAAACACAGAATGCAGCACCTACCCATGGTTTCTTCAACCATAAGTACCATGTTGCTAATGAGCGCTCATTTGTTTTTGATGAGTTCCAAATGCTAAGTTTATTTTCTCAGCCCAGCAGAATCATTTGTCTAGCATCTTTGTCAACTGCTGAGTACTTAGAAAAAGGAAAGTCTAAAGAAACAAGGCAGGAAGTGACCCAATAAGTCCATTTTTGAGCCAACTCCAGGAACCAGGAAGTTGCCAAGGTCTCATCAGATCATCAATATTAAACAAACTGTGCCTTCAGTCACTAAAACATGGCTGTCCTTGGTCTTGCTGTTGCACTCCTGAGAACTCCGGGCATTCGGCCTGAACACCAGTTGGAGATGACTGGTCTTTGACCAGCTTCTTTCCACTTCCTACTGCAGTTCTGAGTCATTACAGTCTGTTCAGTCAACTAGACCAAATACAAGCTCATTCTCTGTTCAAATCAATGCAACTACTTCTATCATTGGTACAGCAAACTGGAGGAATCATTTTGGTATAGTCATCTTCAGGAATGTTTGAGCAGAGTAAGTCTTCATTTGAGAGCTCTCTTAGAACAAAAAGTACACAAAATATTGTTTAAAAAGATAAAGTTACTCTCAGGATATGTGTATTAGGCCACATGGAACAAAAATAAATTTGATTAGATTTAGGTTAGCCTCACTGTCAAGCATAAAACATTTCAAAGTACTTAGAGTTCCAAGCATTGAGAATAAGAGATGACGTGCATAATCAAGCACATAAACACCATTGTTTTCCTCATGCAACATGATGGGATCATTGGCTCCGCATACTGTTTACAGCAGGGATATTAACTATCTTGTCTGTCTGGTTTGTCAAATTAGCTTTGTCCTAAGATCACTTTGAGGCTTAATCTATTATGAAGCATATTCCTATATAAATATAAACATGAATACCAGAAAAAGTTCATGGGAAATACGTGACTTTTGGGCAAGTAAGTAGATAAGTTTTCTGTTAAAACAATTCTGTGGCATTCAAGACTAAAGTACAAAGGGAAAAAAGTAGATAAGCGGTTGTTTCTGAGAGCCATAATGAAATATAAATGACAAAAAAGTAAGGATAATATTTTCTTTATATTTCATACTTTATATATTTCACAAGAAAGGAAGATGAAACTGAAATGTTAGATAAAATGAAAAGTAATAAATTGAGTGACATCCACATTAAAATATTATACAGCAGAGAAAATGGAATATAATCACAGACATATCACTTTGAATGGACATTAAAAACATTACAAACAGGGTTTGAGAGTTATTCTTACATATATATAAAATATTACATTTACATTTCCTTTCTGGATCTTTACAAAGTAAAACAATCATAGGGCATGTTTTATCTAAGTAGCCAAACTCTCCTGCATCTTCACTCGGCTAAGACTTTTTGATCAGTGCAAGTTTTCTAGAATTCCCAAAAGGACTATTAAATGCCAACTGTGGAGCCTCGGAAGACACAGACTGAGCCCATTACGTACGGTAAGAAGCACTGTGCAGCAGTCAGAATCCACTGCGGGGCAATCAGAGTCCCCAGGCAGGACTGGTAACTGGAATTCAGGTACATTAAGTAGAGGAGGTTATCTGTTTCCTCCAGTTCCTCGTTAGAGAATAGAACAGCACCTGGAATTTGAATGAGAAAAGACAACAGCTATCAACATCAGTATGACTAATATGATAGAATTAACTGAAGATGATAAAACAGTCATCATCAAATGTCTCAACTAATGAGAATGCTTTTGAATCCATTTTTTTTTCTAAAATAGGTAACCTTAGTTAATAAGTAGAATATGTGAAAAAAGAAAGGCAAATTAAAGAATTAAAAGTTTCAACAAGTGAAAAGCCTCCATGATTAAACTGATAATAATGTTGCGAGGAGAGAAAAGCAGAATATTTTTGAACTCAAAATCAGAAAAAAAAAAAAACAGAAAATGAAAATAAAAAATAAGTACAAAACAGGCTCCAAAAGAGCTTACAAATATAATAAGCAAAACATTGGGTGTGGCCTAATCGGGCAAGGCTGGTGTACCAGGCAGGACAGGAGGTGGGCCAAATCAGGCTGGCCCAAGAATCCTGGGATGACATCAGGTGGCAATTCCCATCCCCCAGGTGTTTGAGATCTTTCACTGGGAGGTGACCGGATAGAGGAGCTGCAGGGAAAAATTGCAGGATCTGTAGTCTGACCATGGTGGGCATGTGTCAGAACTGGGACTCCTCAGGTGCTAAAGACAGTGCAGCAGACAGCATGCTCAGATGCACATGCGGGACATGACAGATCACTGAGGTCTGCAGAGGACATCTAGTTCCAAAGCAGAGGATGGAGGGCAAAACAAATCGGATAACTCTCTCAGCCAAGCACTGACAGCAAGTATCTAGGTGAACGGAGACTCTGAGATGAACCATATCAGTCACTGGACCTTGGAAGGATCTCCTCATCCTTGGAGAACGAAATCAACAGCATCTCAGAACTATGAAAACCACTTGAACGATGTCCTCAAAAATCTGCTCCATATCGGGGACCCTGGGATGACATTGGGTGGCATTCCCCATCCCCAGGTATTAATGCTGTTAGGATGCTGGGTGTGGCTTCTCTCATTCCTTCCTCCCTTCCCCCAGATACAGGCAGAAGATAAAATTGGAAACAATGGTCTCATCCACCTTCTCCTATTCCTTCCCACCCTAATCAGTGGTCCACATGGGCATGCACCCTTCTCCACTATGTAATCATCATCAAAAATAAAATTAAAATAATAATAATAATTACAAAATGCTTCTCTGATGGTGATAATAATGATGATGGTGATGATAGTGATTATCACTGTTATTAGAGATTTACTATTACATGATAATAAAGCCAGGAAAGCTCTTATTCTTTTGAAACTTAAAACTTATTCTGCTTCTTGTGTACATAATCAGTTCTTACACCTCCTTCCAGACTCCCATCTCTATCCTCACTTCCAGCATATCTCCATGTTTCAGGCCAAGAACCTTATCATCCTTTCAGAGGAGGCCTTTTGTTGCTCTTCAAAACTTATTTATTTATTTGAAAAGCAGAGTGACAGTAAAGAGAGTGAGAGCAAGAGCGAGAGATTGAGAAAGAACAAAGGGAGGGTGAGAAAGATGTCACTGATTTGTTCCCCAAATTGCCACAATGCCCCAAGTTGGGCGTGTCAAGACCAGGAGCTCATCTGGTTCTCCACAAGGGTAGTGGGGCCCAAGTATTTAGGCAATCGCCCAGGGTCTACCCAGGTGCATTAGCAGGAATCTAGATGAGAAATGGAGCAGCCAAGACTCAAACTGCTGCTCTAATATGAGATGCTGGGGTCACAGGCAGCCTCAAAAGCACTGTGCCCCAGATTGGCCCCATCAGAGATGAATTTAAGGCCATAACAAAATATTTGCAGTCCTGGAAACGATAGAGCATGAAATGATAGATAGAAGGGAAGAATTCGCACACTTCCTGTTTCCCAAATTGTCCTGATCCTGGCCTGATCCGCCAGCTCACCCTCTTCACTGTAGCACCACAGCCTCATTCCCAGGAGAGTACAAATCAACCTGACAAAACAGTATCTTCAGTCACTCACCAGCCACCATGAGCAAGGTAGATAAGATGATGAACTTCATGTTGCCGCCTGAATCTTGTCTTGAAGATAAAAGTCATAGAAGGAATGAACAGACACAGCGCAGATGTCAGAGATTCTCAACAACAGGACCAGGTGCAAGTGGGAGAACTAGAGATAAATAATCTACAAGTCTGTCACCCAGAAGTCTCTCCTTTCCATTCCAGGTCTTTGTGTAAAATGGATGCCTCAGTACACAACTGCTTGCTCTTTCAGCCAGTAGTTTTTTATTATCTTCTCAGTTGTACTGACACCTGCCTTGGGAAAAGCTAGTTTCAGGAATCTGAGCTCTATTCGCTTCCAAAATAGGAGCCAAGTAAGCCTTCCGTAGAGTCCCTTTTGTATTGGTAGAATCATTCCAAAGGCCTCCCTTGACCTCTCAATCCTTTTCCTCAGTTCCTTCCCTGCACTGTGTCCAGCATCCTCTCCCTCTAGACATCCCACTGGCGTTGTTCTCCCAGTGGTCAGCTACATCTCCGCCCCTCTGTGTGACACACTGACTTCCCACCCCTGTATGGATGCCAGTCACACTCCCACTGCTCCTCAAAACAGCTTTCCTTTTACAGGTTATATCTCATGACAACACAGTGTGAACTAAGTTCCCAACCAATGCCAGTCTCAGCATCACTGTACTATCCTCTCTCACATATTTTCTAACCCCTGTCTCTGTAGGTACCATTTTCAAATTAAATAACTGAATTTTGGTGACAAAATTTATCAGTAATATACAAATGAAAAACCAGTGGGGATGGTAAAATGGTACAATACTAGACTCAGTAACTCTGTAGCTTTGAGATGCTCTGTGGAATGTGGCTGGGGACAGATGTAAACATACATACATGGAATCTATGACACTAACAGTCGAAGAACTGAAGATCAAACGTGTGTCAATAGATGAGGAAATGTTGGATATCAATACACATACACATCTATCTGCAGGAGTCTTAATTTTTTAAGAGAAGTTTTAAGTAAGATGCTCATATCAAACATTAGTAGCCTTCAAAAAATGGAGGAAGAGATTAACAATAAGAGTCAGCTAAAAGCTGAAGTAATTAATATTGAAACAAAAACACCTGTTTTTCTTAAGGCCTGTATGCACCCAGATAAAACTGTAAGGAAGGTGGGTGAGAGGGGTGTGGCACAAAGGAGGCAGAACTATAGAGTGGCACTGTCGGGATACAGTGAGGTTTGGGAGAGGGCCATGAAATGATACTAAAAGATTGAACTTCTTTTTGAAGCAATATAGATGTACAGAAAAGTTTTAAGCAGGAAATAAGTAAGACTTCATCTACGTTTTGGAAAACAAAATGGCCATCCTAAAGACAGGATGTTGGCTTGAGGAATGATTGAGATCTACATACATTACTAAAAGTTTGTTTAGGGTCAAATTAAAACATGAGGCAAGTTTGAACATAAAGACCATTTAACCCATTAATAGATGAGTGGGTAGCAGTTAGCAATTTCAGGAACTAGCACCCTCTTTGGGGAGGATGGTTTAGAGTTGTTAGGCCAGAAAGGATGTTGGGCTATTGAGTGTGATGCTGAGGCCAATTGTCTGCCTCATAATAGGGTAGCTCAGACATCAGTGCAGTTCTTAGGAAACTTGCTTGAAGGCTTGACTCTACCCAGAGAAGGGATTAGCAGGGTGTTCTGGAAAACCAAGCAGCTGCAAATTGTTATTGGGCTGGGATCTGAAAGAAGCCAAGTATTGTGTTAAGAGATTCTAGCATTTCATTACTCACGCTGACACTCTCTCAGCCTAGAATCTAGGCTTTCTGTGCCCTAACTTGTCCCCCTTTTGCATTCTGTTACAATAAAGTTCAGCCTCTAACCATGCTGGTGGGAGAGGGCTGGATTACTTTCCAATTTCAACTGCCTTTCTCAAGACTAGTTTCTGACCTTCACAAAAGCAAGCATTACTTATGTGTTTGAACAAACACTAAATGGCTACAGCCATGATAATCATAAGAATATGAAAGGAAAACCAGGTGCCAATTTGTGCTCCCAACTGCTCATTCTGATCCAGCTCCTGCCCTTGACCTGGGAAAGCAATGGAAGATAGCCCAAATGATACAAGATTATGGAAAGGATTAGACTGGTTGCAATGGAAATGGAAAGACATAGATTCAAGAAATTCATGGGAACTAAGAAGGGCTTTAGGAGTCAGTGGTGAGAAAAAGAGAAGTCAAACAAGTGAATGATAGAACAGTGAGTTTAAAAGCTGACAGGAATGAAGAGTTTTCTTTTAGTATACGGTAAATTTCAGGCAACTGGAGGAAATGTAAATATGTTTTCCAGCCAGCAGTTGTGTGTGTGAGACCAGAGGTCTGGGCTACAATGTCAATTGCAAATTCATAGACAGACTGTAGTCCCCATGGCTCATCTCTTTCAGAGAGCTAGGGGTCCTCCTTTTATGTTCAGAACCAAACCACACACTTCCTTTCCAGCCCCAATCTATATGAAAAACTCTAGGGCAAACAACCTCAGAGAAAAGTTTCTTTTTCAACTGTTCAATTATTTTACATAATTTCACTTCCATATCCACCTTCACCTTGTCTTCCAAGCATAAGTACATTTTATAATCAGCCTACTTTCGCCCACACAGCTCTCTGCCTGTTGTGAGGTTCAAGATAGTGCACCCTGCCACACTTTCCACACTTCAGGGAATTTGAACAGATCTACAACATCCATGCTAATTGATAGAATAAACCCTGGACGAGACAGTTGAAAAGCTGTAGGCATCCAGTAACAAAATGTACGTTGAGCTTCACATTTCCTACCATGTGTGATCAAGAAGATCACTTAAATTCTGTTTTACTTCTGTCACCCAGAGATCGGGGGGAAGAAAAAACTGAAGAAATGAAACCAGCCCCAGTTCTCTTTCTAAAGTTGTGCCATTGGGATGAGAAAATGAATTTAAGGAACTGCAAAGGGTTTGAGTGATATGCATTACAAATAATTTTGTATATCTAACTTTAAATAAAATTACTACTGAAGAAATTCTGAAGAACTCAGTTCAGTGCCTGACATTCAGGAAGTATTTAATGGATGTTACTAAGTACTGTCCCCATACATGTTCTCATTAAAGCATACCTTCCAAGCATCCGCACATGATTGTGGGAGTCTATTATGGCAGAAAAGCTTTGCATTAAGTAAGCAGTATTTAAGAGCCACTACCCAATGAATTTTCACCATCATACTTTGAGATCCTAGATATGGACCCTGTAGAATGTGAACTATATGCCAACTCTTGAGACAACTGCTCCATGAAAGTTTTTCCATTTCTTCACTTTTGCACCCCACAGCTATGGATTGGGATAACCAGACCAAGTACACTGGTGGTCATCACCGAGTGATGAAACAGTGATCAGGGAGAGAGATCATGCTAGCGTAACAAAGAGGGGAGTGGCCTGAGGACAGCATAACTAACCAGTCAGGGGTTCAGAGCAAACTTCCGGGATACTGTCTCCATGAGCTAAGTAAGGTAAGGAACTCTGTCCACCACAGCCCTAGCCTCGAGAATTTTGTGGGGACGATAAGTCTTTGGCCTGTAGCTCCCTTTTCCATGGAGAGCTGAACTAGCATCAAGCAGATGACCCCTTAACAACAGAAGAGAGGAATATATGGAAGTAAGCTTTTCCCTTCCATGAAGAACCCTAATAAGAACATAGTCCCCGCTCATCTCCCTCTCCCGAAGTGTCCAAAACTGACTTCCAGTCCCATACTGCACCCTTCCTAATCTACTCCACTGATTCTAGGAGGCGTTATTGAGACGACTTGAGCTGAGGGCTCCACACTCTGTGGCTCCTCTTCTACATCTTACAAGGAATCTAATCCATCATGAAATTTATATTCTGCTTGTGCATCCTTGCTGGTATGTATCTGACACCTTCCACTTTGTCCTGTAAGGCAGAAGTTAATGTAGAATTCAGTTAAGACAGAAGGAGGATGTGTGGCAGGTACAGAGGAGTCAATACTCTCAGGAACAAAATGAGGGCTCTTCCCTTTTGGGTTCCAACCTAAGGATCCTAGGACAGGACGAGCTGATTCTTCTGGTTCCAAGGGATGGGGTGGGTTATGGCACCCACCTGCCTTGAAGGATGCTCAATAGTGAGTGCCTTCCCTATGATTATTCCAAAACATCTACCTCATCCCCCTCTGGCAAATCCCCATGTGCTTTCCGGGATACAAACTCTTTTTGATTTCTGGTAGTCTCCTTTGTCTGAAACTTTACTCAGAATATAAGGCATTCCGGGATCCTGCAGTACTACTCGCTTCGATTCCTACCTTCCTTTAAGATTTTTTCTTTGAATGGCAGAATCTGCTGCTGAGGTATTGCTCATCAGTCCCTCCCTGTTGGCTTATGTTACATCACATATTACTTGCACGAGACAGAACTAGTTCATGCTTGTATGTTTCCACTTTTGCAGTCAAAATGAGAATCTTAGTGTCTATATTGTGTAGTTGTGAAGATTCAATAAATCCATATAAAGCACTCAGGTTTACCCCGGGTATCAAGTTCAAAGTCTCTTGCCTTATTAATAGCCCGCTGTTTTCACCTTGGGATTCTTAACAATGTTTATCACACAGAAAAGAGAATGACACAATAAAATCTCAGGCTTGGAGATGACTAACAAAAAAACCCAAATCAGACAAGATATGACCAATATTGTATTTCTGACACTAGAATTGACCTCCTTCCACTTTATTCCTTGTAATAATTCATTTATAAACCATGTCTTCATACTAGAAATTTGAAAATTTTTCAGGAAGGGAAAAAATCATTATCAGAATCCCACCTTGGTCAACACATACTACCGCACCTCAAATGCTCTGAATGTATTCCCAGACTCAATATATTAATTTCGCACATTAAAATGTTTTTGTTTGCTGCTATAAGTATAATATAGCAAAAAACATATACATCTATTTTATTTTTAAACTGAAGCATTATCATTTCCTTTGATGCTTGATATTTCTTCTAAGTACAATTCTTTAATATATAATTATTTTATATAATGCTTCACTTGTTCCAAATGAATTTCATAGTACATATGGTCTATATTCTAGCGTCCAACATTGCTATATTAGATATTCATGCTACCACATTCAGTTATTAAATAGTATTCTGATTAACACTCTTACTGTCTTTACCTAGAATTGTTTATTTCTTTAAAATGCATTCTTTGGTTGGACTTATGAGTTTGCAGGAGATAATTTACAACTCTTTTGCCTTTTCAAGAAATTTGAATCCATTTACAAGCAGTAAATTCAGTTATACTCATTATACTCTTTTCTAAGATTTTATTACATTTTTATTGGAAAGGAAGATTTACAGAGAATGAAAAAGATCTTCGTTCCTGCTGGCTCACTCCCCAGAGAGTCATAATGGCTGGAGCTAAGCCAATCCAAAGCCAGGAGCCAGCAGCTTCTTCTGAGTCTCTCATGTGGTGCAGGGTCCCACGGCAGTGGGCCATCCTCTGCTGCTTTCCCAGCCCATAAACAGGGAGCTGGATGGGAAGTGGAATAGCCAGGGCACAAACCAGTACCTATATGGGGGTGCCAGCACTTGAAGGAGAAGGATTAGCCTATTGAGCTGTAGCACCCTCTATTTACTCTTTATTAGATAGAGTATTATCATATTAACCAATACATTATGGGTGTTAAGTATAATGTTATATTAACCTATATCTTTATTAGAAAAATGTCAAGTATCCCATTTCCTGACCAATTGTTTATATTTCTTTTCAATGAGAAAAAATTTTTTTTCAATTATTTTCCCAGGCACATCTTCCTTCACTCACTCATCTGTGCAGAAAGAAGATCCTGCTCCCTACTTGGTGTATCTCAAATCTCACTTCAACCCCTGTGTCGGGGTTCTCATCAAACCCAGCTGGGTGCTGGCCCCAGCTCACTGCTACCTACCGTGAGTACGAAAAACAACAACTTCCTTCCCTGGTAAATTTGACCATATCAAAGATATTTTCACCTGTTACAAGTGGACAACAGTGCTACAGGCATCAAGTGGGTAGAGGCTAGGGGAACTATACTCCTAACATCCTATGTTGCACAGCACAGTCCCTCCCAATAAACACTCGTCCAGCCCAAAATATCAATAGTGTCAGAACTGATGAACCTTGTTTTACATTATAACTTCTTAGTCTCCCACCAGCAATTTTCTCAAGTTTTTTTTTTCTTTTATTGGCAAGTTGACCACATTTTACCAGTAAAAGCCCAGCAGGCAACTGATAATACACTTAACTTGGGTGAATTGAAGAGAGTTTGATAGAAGAACTAACTGTAATATCACAGTGATGTTACCGGGAAATGGAGGGACCAGTTCTGTATTCCCAGGATCACCATTAAGTGATGTAACAGAAATAGTAACCTTTGGCAAGGTGCACAGCCAGACTGTGGCAATACTGCAGCCATAGGACTGAGAGGATATCAATATCCCAAGGTCCTCTTTTCTCCCTTTAAATATTCCTGGTAGTTTCTATTGGACAAAACCCAAAAGGAAGTCAGAGGACAAGAGAACACATTGATTTAGTTTCCATAAGTACACAGCAATGTGAAGGAAAGCTGTTAGTGGATTCAGTGCAACAAACAGAACTATACAACACTCAAGTCATTCCATTCTCCCATCCTCACAAAAAATGAAACTGCCCAGTTGATTCTGCTGAGTGGATGGTAAATATTTCTTGGGGATGCATTATTTTTTTCTCTCCACTCCACTGGGAACTTCTACATGAAAATATGGCAGTTAAGGACCTCAATTGCCATAGGAAAATAACTCCCAAGTGCCTCCATTATTTTATGTATAAAAGCAACAAAAAGAGGATCCACTGGGCCCTGCACGGTAGCCTAATAGCTAAAGCCTTTGCCTTTTGCACCCACCAGGATCCCATATGGCTGCCGGTTTGTGTCCCAGCGGCCCCAATTCCCATCCAGCTCCCTGCTTGTGTGGCCTGAGAAAATAGTCAAGGACGGCCCAGGGCCTTGGGACCCTGCACTTGTATAGGAGACCTAGGAGAGGCTCCTGGCTCCTGGCTTAGGATTGGCTCAGTTCTGGCCATTGCGGCCACTTGGGGGAAGTGATTCAGTGGACAGAAGATCATTCTGTCTGTCTTTCCTCCTCTTTGTATATCTGACTTTCAAATAATAATTAAATAGGTAAATTAAAAAAAAAAAAAAAGAGGATCCATGCATAGACTTGTGAGCTAAATTAAATAATCCAGATAAGAGGCCCGGCGGTGTGGCCTAGTGGCTAAAGTCCTCACCTTGAATGCGCCAGGATCCCATATGGACGCCAGTTCTAATCCCGGCTGCTCCACTTCCCATCCAGTTCCCTGCTTGTGGCCTGGGAAAGCAGTCGCGGACAGCCTAATGCTTTGGGACCCTGGACCCATGTGGGAGACCTGGAGGAGGTTCCTGGCTCCTGGCTTTGGATCGGTGCAGCACCAGCCTTTGTGGTCACTTGGGGAGTAAATCATCGGACAGAAGATCTTCCTCTCTGTCTCTCCTCCTCTCTGTATATCTTACTTTGTAATAAAAATAAATATATCTTTAAAATAAATAAATAAATAATCCAGATAAGGTACTGGTTACAACATCTACCATATTGGAATCTTAGCAATGAAGATGACGATGATGATGGTAGTCATTACTAACAACTTTTTCCCTTCAGAAACCTGAAAGTCATGCTGGGAAATTTCAAGAGCAGAATCAGAGACGGCACAGAGCAGACAATTAACCCTATCCAGATTGTCCGCTACTGGAACTTAACTGACACCTCCCCCCAGGATGACCTTATGCTCATTAAACTAGCCAAGCCTGCCACTCTTAATCACAAAGTCCAGCCCATCGCCCTGGCTACCAGCAATGTCCGGCCAGGCACCATCTGCCTGCTCTCGGGTTTGGACTGGAGCCAGGAGAACAACGGTGAGTGCAGCACCCATGCCCTCAGCAGTGGGGAGCAGAGGGGAGGAGAGGGGCAGGGGTGAAGACCCCAGGGGTATGCTGCAGGCCTGACCTGAACCAAAGAGAAGGCTCCGTAAGTGCCAAAAGCTTCTGGGGGCTTTGGCACCTGCAGCCACCAGGCCACCTGGCTGTGCCATTCCTAAGTGTCAGAGGCACAAACCACGTGATGGAGGCTGTGGCCTTACAGCCCACACACACATTCCACAGGCAAAGCACTTGTTCCTTTCAGCTGCTCCTTTTGTCCAAGACCAAACACGAACCAGAAAGAAAGAGACACAGACTAGCTCAAAAAATCTCAGGACTGACTCTCATAACTACGTTAAAGTTTATTCTTTCTCTCACTTAAAAAAAAAGTTTATTTAAAAGGCATAGCAACAGAGAGAGGGAGAGATCCTCCATCTGCTAGCTCACACACCACAGAAGGCCAGAATAGGAGCTAGCAACTCAATCTGCATCTCCCATTTGAGTGGCGGGGGTCTAGGCACTTGGACATCTGCTGTGAAGTGTGTTGGCATTTCCAGGCAGCTGAACTGAAAGTGAAGCAGCCAGGATTCCCACTGGCACTGCCATACAAAATGTAACTGTTACAAGTGGCAATTTGACTCACTGTGCCACAGGGCCAGCCCTCCACCTCATCTTTTTCTCATGATTTAGAAACAAACATGAAAAGACTTAAATGAGGGGGGAGCATTGGTTAGAAGGATTAAATACCAACTGTCATTTGCTTCCTTTTAGGCAGACATCCTGACCTGCGACAGAACATAGAGGCCCCCACCATGTCTGATAGAGAGTGCCAGCAAACCGAACAAGGGAAAAGCCACCGCAACTCTCTATGCGTTAAATTTATCAAAGTATTCAGCAGGCTTTTTGGGGTAATCTTTTCTTTATTTTCTCCTTCATTTGCCTACCTGTGCCCGGTTAAGTAACCATTAATATTATTTTTTTGATATCTAAAGCCATTTTTGTTTCTTCAGTAATTGAGTCTCCAGGTGTCTTTACTTGTTGTAAAGCACCAGGCAGTACCTCCAGTCCACAGCACTTGGCTACGTGTTCATTCTCAGAGCCACAAGTAACACTGTGAAGATGGGCATGGCTTCAAAAAATCATCCTAGTTTCCCACAAACCGAAACCAGCCCAGCCAGTGCAAGCACACCTTAAGTGTCTTTGTGCAACTTCTGGAGAGACTGTTCTCTTGCTCAGGATCGCACCAGACCAGTGATAACAGAAATCAGGCCGTCTGTTTGCCCATCGGGGCTCTCCTTATGACCTATACGCTGCCTGGAGACGAGATTCATTCCAATAGAGAACCAGGGGCAGGTTCCTATGAGGGAAGATAGAAGAGAGGATCTGACCATCTCTCTCTCTCTCCCTGCATGATCTCCGATAGGAGGTGGCTGTCGCTACTGTCCTCTGCAAAAACAAACTGCAGGGAATTGAGGTGGGTCACTTCATGGGAGGGGACGTCGGCATCTACACCAATGTTTACAAATACGTGTCCTGGATTGAGAACATCACTAAGGACAAGGAAAAGTGAGACTTCGCTTCCGCCTCTCGTGCCCCGCCAGCTCTGCCTTTCCACTATTTGTAGAGGCTCATATTCTCCCTAACCTCAAAATAAAATCTCCAAATCAAATCTCTGGGTACAGTATGCCAGGGAGTCTTGGTTTCCTTGCTTATGTCTCTGCTCGTGTCCTTTGATGATGTGAAGAACCAAAATCAAGCAGAAGCAGTTACTACACTGGACGGGGTTATTTTGCTAAGCTCAAAAATGCTTATAGACAAACCTTCCAAGTTCTCTTTTTAAGACTTTATTTATTTTATGTGAAAGGCAGAAAGACATTTCACCCACCCAAATGGATACCGTGTCCAGAGCTGGGCTGATCTGAAGCCAGGCGCCTACAGCTTCTTTTGAGTCTCTCAATGCAGATGCCCAGGGACTTGGGCTATCTTCTGCTGCCTTCCCAGCCATGTCAGCAGGGAGCTGGATAGGAAATGGAGCAGCTGAGATTCAAACCAGCACCTATATGGGATGGTGGCATCACAGGCAGGGGCTTACCCTACTGCACCACAGTGCTGGCCCCTGGAGTTCTTTTATTCTCACTTGACAAATGAGAATAGTGAGGTTAAAAAGGGTTATTTGACATTAGTCATAGCTGGGGAGTATCAGAACCTGGAATGTATTTCAAGAAAATCAGACTTGAAATTCTGTCATATTCATAGCCTGAACACCATGAATACTATGGGGTGGTCCAAGCAACCACAGTGACCAGCATCTGCTATTTCCCTGTTACCTTTCATTCAAAAGGTTAAAGACTGTGCCTCTGGCTAAGGGCTCAGGTCCTGGGGAAGCTCGGTTTTGCTTAGGGCCACCATGATTGCAGCAGTTGTAGAGCGAGCCAATGGGATGAAAGGAAATAAAGGGCAAAACTCCAGGACAGAGTCACTACCAGTAAGTCAAATCCCAGTGCCTATAAAACCCATATGGGATCCCAGCTCATTTAGGGCAAGGACTTCAGCCACTAGGCCACCACACCGGGCCCCAGTAAGCGGTTCTTAAAGACACTGCAGCAACCTCTGTAAAAGCAAGGCACTAATTTTGTCCTACATGGCTAGTATCTGTAGATATTGTAAAAGTCATGGTCCACAAAAATTTGAAAGCACTGGAAAAATAAAACTAAAATCTAATTTAGGAGAGCAGAATGAATTTGGAGTTAAATAAGATAACTCAAATCCTGATTAATGAGATTCATAATCTACAATTTAAATCTGAGAAGCTTGTAAGAGAAGCAAAAATATGATCAGAGGTGTGAAAGAAATCACAGAAGAACTAGAAAAATTGATACGATTGTATCTGGACAATGGGCCGAACAATTGAAAGAGAGAGCAGCACACTGCTGTTTGAATCCTTTCTTATGCGTGCCCGTATATCACATTTTTAACATTTGAAAGACTATACCATCACAGAGAACATAATTTAGAAGATTTTGAATACACAAGCACACACAGACACACACACAATGGACTGAACTGCAGCACTAAAAATGCAAATTATAAGATTATTTACATAAAACTCCATTCAAGAGCACATATTTGCATCCAGATTTGTTTCTTTGGCTAAAACACAAAGCAGCTTCACTTCTGTCAGAAGCTCAATCATGTATAGAAAAAAGAAAAGAAGTAGGATTCCAAAAGATGAATGGGAAAACGCAGGGATTTTGTCTTTATTGTATCAGAATGACAAATGGGAAGTGCCTATAATTACAACATATAACGTGATGTGTTCATTGTCTATGCATTATGAAATACTATCATACACAAGTTAATTAGTGTATCATTTCATATAGTTGTTCCTTCTTTGTAGTGAGAATGTTTAAGGTCTACTCTCTTAGGAAATTTGAAGCATACAAAGTACTAACTACAGTCAATATACTGAACAATAATTCTTTAGAGCTTATTCAGCTATGTAAAGCTTTATACGTTCTGATAAACACCTTCCATTTTTCTCATCTTCCAAACTCCTGTCAACCACTATTTTACTACTTGCTTCTGTGAAAATAACTTCTTTTAGTTCCACATATCAATGAGATTGCATAGCAGTCTTTGTTTTTCCAGTGTATCCCACTCAGCATAACATCCTGCAGGTTTGTGCCTGTTTCCATCAATGACAAGGTGCACTTGGTTTTTTTTAATGTTAACTTATTTATTTTTATTTATTTGAAAGATCAGCCAGGGCTAGGCTTGACTATAAAGCCAAAAGCTTTGAATTCTATCTGGATTTCTAACTCAAGTGACAGGAACCCAAAGCTCTTGAGCCTTCACGCATGGCTTCCCAGTATCTTTCAGCAAAATGCTGGATCAGAAGTGGAGGTAAGGCTAAATTCCAGGTACTCCAACAAGGGATGTAAGCACCCCAATCTGCAGCTTAACCTGCGTACCACAATGCCTACCCTTGCTTCTTTATTCAAACTTGAAAACTATTCCACCGTATCTGTGAGATATGAGTTTCTTCATCCATTCATCCATTGGTGTCCACTTGGGTTAATTATTCTGTTGTGATTTGGATCTTAGCATCAAGTTGCCCCACTAGTATCAAATTTGAAATATTAGCTGTTTATTTTACCTGCTGTAAAAACATACATGAATTTCTACATTCAATAATACAAATCCTAGTGTGAAGACTCACAAGCATAATCAATGCAATACATGAAAATTCCTGAAAAGAATACAAGACTTGGATTCAGAAAATCCAGGGTTGTTTGCACCTGCATCCACTTAGCAGTTGAAAATCATTGTTTTGGCCTCAGTTCTGCCATCTACTAAATGTTATCACAATAAATAACTGCGTATAGTTGCTATTGAAACCTAATGAAATAAAACATTATGTGAATAAGACTGATAAAATGTAAATTCTGATATGAATGTCACATATTATCATAAGTGGTCACAAAAGAAATCTGTATAAAAATAGGAATGGTGTAATGGAAATTCATTCTGCTACTAAAAAAGTTAAAAAAAAAAAAGAGAGAGAGAATAAATGTCATTATTCCCAGTATACAAAAGATGTGCCTGACCTCACAGTTCTCCCAGTGACAGCAGCAGGGCCAAGCCTCCTTTGAGTGATGGGTGATATCCACAGGTGCCTAGATGTTCACTGTCTGGGGAAAGAAAATTATATTTGTTGGAGAATAAATAAATGGCAGAATATCAGCATAGTTAATTGAAAAAAAAAAATACTGACCTATATCAAGTATTGTCTTCTAGATTCCAGATCTTCTAAGAACTGAACCAAAGAAAATGTGTTCCAACAAGCTGCAAAGAAAGCTAAGAATATGCATGAAGAGAGGAATGGACAAGATTGGAGAGAAAGGCAAAATTAGTTCTTTGGTAAGGGAGCATGAGAAGCTGAGTTCGAGCTGCCTCTGAATCTCTGAGCGGATCTCTGCTGCCTTCTGGGCTTCACTTTCTTCATCTCTAACACAAAGGAGGAGTTGCAAGACCAATTACCCTGGCCACTCAATCATAGAAAATATATAGAAAATATGGAAAATATATAGTGGATTGACTATAGGTTAGGTGAGATTCTAACCTTTGGGAAATACAGAGATTTAAAAAACAAAACAACAAAACAAAACAAAACAAAAACAGACAGTGCCTGTGTCTATGGATTTGACATCTCAGATAATTCCCAAATCAAAGATCTGGTACCAAAACAAAACAAAACAAAACAAAATCTGAGGATGAACTGTGGAAACACCAGAGAACACTACCATGCAGGACACAAAATGGCCACGGAGAACACAGTGATCTTTTAGAGCACAGAAGAAAGCGATCCTCATTCCTATTTCTCCCTATTCCACGTCTCAACATCAGCGCTTAATACACATGACAAACATCTACTGTTCTACTTTAAAGCACTTCTAGGACACAAGACACTTCCAGAAGTTTTCTTTTGCTTCCAGTTAAATGACTGGATTTGCTACAATTAACAAATGAGAGAATTATGTAATACTTTCTAAGTTTATTTCAAAATATTACCATTGATGATAAAGTGAAATTTCTGAAAAACAAAACAAAACAAAACAAAACTATGTTAAATATTCCTAAAGAAAACACACAACTAAGTCATTTGCCACTTACATACACAACATGACATTTCTTTTACCAAACATCAAACCCCAGCCTTGATTTCTATAAGTCATGGAATATACAAATTTTGCATCACACAAAGAGAAATAATTCTGGCTGTTATTCTGAATGTCTTGTTGCCCATTCATTGAGCTGACATCAAAGAAGAAAAATCTTATGAAAAAACAAAGTCAGCCCCTTGACCATCAAGAAGCATCTCCCGGGACTGTCCTGGTCACACCTGTCTGCTAAGATCACTAGCCCCAGGCTCTCCAAGCACACAAGATCTTGCACAGGATTCTCTGGCAAATCTGCTTTCCCCTAGGAATCCCCATGACCAGTATGACAGAATGAAGAGAAGGGTAGGCAGCCATGAGTGTCTCGGCAATGAAGGCATCAGTGAGATCAACGGAAGATCTGATGGTGACGGGGTGCGGGCTGGCCAGGATATAAACCAGATGAAGCACAAGGAAACAACCCAGGGACTTGAGGGCAGTGATGTGCGCCTTGGCACGGGCATCCTTCCTGCCAGCTGTGTGCACATTCATCTTCTTGTGGTGTCTGTATAAGGAGACAATCAGCATCCCAGAGGCAACGAAAAATACCATGAAAGGAAACCAACTGCCTGCAGTGAGTTGATGGATATACCTATAACGCCAGTCTGAAAGACAGTACGGAAAACTGTCGTTTCCTTGGGAAAGCCTACAGGAGTTGAAGCCAATGTTGACAAGAAGCAACATACTGATGAAAAAATGCCCTAGGAGGCACCAGAGACTCAGGCCGTTGGCCCTCTGCTTCAGCCACAGGCAGACAGGGAATTCAAGCATCGTGATCCTCTTGCAATAGAAGACACTGAGGAAAGTGGCAAACCACAGACTAGCCTGGCTTACCAGGACCCATAAGACATTAAAATACTGAAGCTCGTGGTTGCTCCTGAAAAGCAGAAGTAGGATTAAATTCAACATAAGCAATCCTTGCAGAAGAAATCGGCAGCCAGCCAGGCCCAGGACAATGAGGGGGTATGAAGATTTCTTGAATTTTTTAATACATTCTTGAAAGCTCCAGACCACGAGGACTCCATTCCCGACCAGACCAATGAAAGATTCAACCGCAGCTACCAACATGAGCAGTCCTAGGGCAGCGGTCAGCATGGCTGGAAAGTAGGGTGTCTCACTGCTGCACCGAGATGTGCCTGGCTCCGTGCTGATGAATATGTATGACTTCTGGCTGATGTCAGATCTGCTGGTAGCACCAGCATACTCGGGGGAGATTTTCACAACAGCAAATCTGAATTTGGCTTATTTTTCCAAACCCTGTTCTCAAGCAGAAATTGAATGCCTTTGACTGGGAACAGAGAGTTTAGAAGTTATGATATCCTCTGCTTTTGCATCTACCTGATTGAATCCTAGATTGAGACTGGAAACATCACTATAGACACCAGCTCCTCAAAGATCATTGTCTGAAGTCTAGACACCAGCTGGTAATATTACAATATCTCTCACCAAGGAAAAACAAAACACTCCTCAGATTCTATATGTGTGTCACATGTAAACTCACATGCCATTATGAAAAAAGGAAATTTCATTTTCTGTAAAAGAACACTGAACATATAATCATAAAAATGAATAATCTTAGACATTAAAGACATATTCCATTGTAGTTGAGAAGCAGAAGTTTGGGGCATAACCCATTCAAGTGTCGTAGAACAGAAATAGGGGCTGGCACGGTGGCTTAGCAGGCTTATTTTCACCTGCAGTGCTGGTATCCCATATGGGTTCCAGCTGTTCTACTTCCATCTAGCTCCCTGCCCTAAGCCTGAGAAAGCAGCAGAGGACAGCTCAAGTCCTTAGGCTCCCACAGCTGCTTGGGAGACTGGCTTCAGAAGGTTCAGCCTGGCTATTGTAGCCACCTGGAGGATGAGCCACAAGAGGGAAGATTTTCTATTTCTCTCTCTCTCTGGAAATATGTCTTTCAGATAATAATAAATACATCTTTTTAAAAAAAGAATAGAAATCATTACTGTTAACCATGGTCTTCAAAACCACATGCTGTTTATTGCCAGTTATATATACACACTTGCCTTAACATGTAACTTACATCAAGATCTTAGGACGAGCTGAAAGTATGAAATTATCACAGTTACACAGAAATACAAGAAAAGCATTTACCATCCTTCAGATTCTAATACAAGAATGCATGTTTAAGCTGAAACACACATTTAAAATTTTCATTTTTGTGACTAGAGAAAGGTGAAAGGCTTTTGTAGATGAATTAAAGCTTTGCAACAGTCAATTTTGAGTTTAAATAGGGGTATGGGGGATTAGCCTGAGTGGATCCAAGCTAATCAGTTGAAAGCTTTGCAAAAGGAATGGACATCTTCTAGAGAGAGGAGAGAGAGAGAGAGAGAAAAAAAAAACACGTGTGGAAGAAAGAGTGCTGTACCACATGCAAGCAGCCCTGGAGGGTGGCCTAACACTGCCTCAGATACCAGGAAGCTGTGGCCATGGCACTGCCCCTCCCTGGGCCTCACTTCCTCTATGAATAGAATAATGGAATTTTTAGGTTAGACTCCCATTCCTTTCCATGGGATTTACAGAGTGCCCAGTAGGTGTAAGCTCTAGGGGAGTGGGCAACAATGTAAGGAATACCACACTATGTCTCCCTGCAGGAATCATGCTCTCCATGTCACTTCCACCCATTCCAAGATCCAGTCCTCTACACTCTGGCTACAGCCTGAGAGGAAGCAGAGGAAACAGCCACAACTTCCAGCAGCCAGAAAACCTGGGGAAAAACTTGAACCTGTTAAGAAGCAATTTCTGTGTCAATTCTTAGAAACATGATTGTCCCTATGTCCCCAGCTGACCCACTCTATTCCTAGGACCTGAACCTTCCTACAAGCTGTGGTAGCCAACTGATGTATTTCCAGAAAGTCTAGTCTGGGTTCAAAAACTGTATCTTCAGAAAGAGCAAAAGTTTTAACAAATAATTTACTGCTGGTATTGTGAGAAGCTAAACCACATAGAGAATTGAGATCATTATTTTGTTAATTTTACCCAAAAAATGTTTGCCCAAAACATATCCAGTAATTAATGTACAAGTTTATCATTATTTAAAACATGTATTATTTTGAAATTGTAACTATTTTCTACTTCCTTTTATAAAGGAGAATTTGCAACATATTGGCAAAGAAAACTGGATTATCTGAAGTAACTTGGAAAAACATGACACTTTCCATGCAAAACATGAAAACCCAGCTGTGACTTCCAGATTTTATGAAAATAATAGACTTTGCAGTGCTTCATGAGCACACAGTTGAATTTCTATCTTGCTTTTCACATTATCCTCTCAAGGACTTACATCTTTTATTTAATGCTGTGGTGGTCAATCATCCAGTTAAGGGACTATGCCCCCCTCCCACATTACAGCATCCACATTCCCCAGCACAGACCCCGTTCACAGGTTTCTCAGCTCTCATGACCGTTAGGATAAAGAGGCGAGCACAAAACAAGAGTGGTGATGAGCTTCAAGAGGCAAGATTGGAGATGATGGGGAGAAAAGCCAGACAAAGCCTAAACTGGGTCAAGGAGGAACTTCAAAGCCATGGAAACTTGACTCAGACCGCCACAAGTGCGTGACTTTATCTTCCACGGTGTCCATACAGAGAGCACGTTGGAACAGAAACATCACAAACAGCACTCCATTTCCAACATGGTTTGAATATGGAATATGAGACACTGCTGCTTTCTGTCAATCTTCAAGCCCACAAAAGCTAAGAAATGCAAAGCACAGGCCAGAACTATAGAGCAGCAGATCAATCTGCCACCTGTAATGCCAGTATTCCCAGCATCCCGAATCAGGGCATTGGTTCTCAAGTCCTGATCTGCCCTGCTTTTGATCCTGCTTCCTGCCAACGCACCTGGAAAGGCAACAGAGAACAGCCCAAGTACCAGGGACCACCCAAATGGGAGATGAGATGGAATTCTGAGTCCCTGATTTCAGCCAGGAGCAGCCCTGACCATTATAACCATTTATGGAGTCAACCTATAGATGAAAACACTCTCTCTCTCTCTCTCTGTGTGTGTAGTTCTACTTTTCAACTAAAATTTTAACATAGAAAACAAAAACCACCCATAGGCCACCTTCTTCAGCCCTTAGGAATCAAGAGCCAAAAGTCATGATCTTTATGCAGTAGGTGCTACTGAGGACAGAGGGAAACTGCAGGCTGGCCTGGCCTGCCAGGATCGGAAGATGCTGAGTGACACCAGGCAAGCCTGGAAAAGTGAAATCAGACTCACCTGGCCCACAGAGGTCACCGTGAAAGCCTGAGTGGGGGAGAGAGTGGACAACCACTGTGCACGAGGCAATGAAGGCTTGCAGAGGCCTCTTAGATCTTATTTGACTCATTTTCCAAAATTCCAGATCAGAGTGACTCCATTTCTAACCAGGCAGGTGAATGACAAATTCTGACACCGCAACCTGCATCAGCAATCCTAGGGGAGCCGCAGGAACGGATGCTGGGAGAGGAGTCTCTGACTGCCCTCCCAGAACACCTGCTTCACTGCTAATGAGCAAGTGCATCTGCTGGCCAAGGGCAGCTACTAAGGGACCTCAGAATCAGAGCAGAAAAGTTTCACTTTTCCAATTCAAGAGTCCATCACATCTTCTCTCTGGTAAAGACACTGCACCTGTGACCCACAGCCATGTTCTTGAAGGCGACACGTTTGTTTCACACACAACTACAGGAAGGTAGGGGAACGTGGGAGGCCATGCAGAGCCACAGTCAGTCTGTCCTTCCTAAAATCCTGAGACCTGGCCGCACAGCCTCATTAAGTCCCATCCCAGCTCATCTGACTCCACAACCCTGAAGAGCAACCACTGCAAAGCACCCCACCCTGCAAAAAGGGAAAGTTCAACATTATTAACCACTTGGCAAATACTGGTTACGTAACCACCATCAGCCAGACTACCATTCCAACACCTTCAGATATTGTGTAAAGAAAACAAAGTTCATGCTTTCCTGAGGCTCAAATAATTAGCCATTTTGACATGGCTGCCATTAGAATATATAAATGTGACTTGTCTTTATACATATATAATGCCTTACTTACAATAACAGGAATACTATGGTAAGAATACGGTGAGAAGGGGCCAGCACCATGGTGTAACCGGTAAAGCTGCTGTCTGCAGCACCAGCATCTCCCAGCGGCTCCACTTTTGACCCACACTCCTGGTGACGTACTTAGGAAAGCAGCACAGGACGGTTCAAGTGCTTGGGTCCCGCAACCCAAATGGGAGACTCAGATGAAGCTCCTGCCTTCACACTGTCCCAGCTAGCCATTGCAATCAGTTAGGGAATGAATAAATCTGTAGGAAAAAAAAATCTCTTTCTCTGTAACTCTATGTTTTAAGTAAATGAGTAAATTTTTATTCCAAAAAAGACAGATATTAATGACTGAGTTGTGATGCAGATGCTGCTATGCAAAGCCACACACTCAATGCCTTCCGGTTTATCAGAGCAACCATTCAGGCTTCTTCCTGTTGCTGGCATTGAAACGATGTGATCAAGTATCTTTCTCAAAGTTCCTTCACTGTAAACTGCACTGCTGTGAGTCTTCAAGTATTTTCACAGTATCTGAACCAAGAAAAGCAAGCCAGGGAAGTAGCAGGCATCAGAAGAGAATCTTACAGAGAAGATGACTGGCCTCCCAGTCAGCACCGACAGAACAGTCCATTCTACAAAGAAAACAGAGTACTGAGAGCACAGAAGGCAAGAACAAAATGGGTTTCAAAGACTTCAACTCCAAAAGAATCCTTTCGGTGAAGTCGGCAGCATTTCAGAACTATCCAGACCACTTGGACAGAACCCTCGGCATAGGCACACACTGAGACTCTGGATTGATAGGAGGTGGCAGTTCCTCATCCCTGGGTACTGGGGTGTACGAAAAATCGTGAGTGGTTTTCCCCTTTGTTTCTTCCCTTCCCCCAGGAGCAACAAGAAGAAATAGCAAATTTGGATGCAATGAATTCACCCAATTTTCCCTAAACCTTGATCCTTCCCACCCTGATCAACCATGTAATCATTACTTTAAAAAAATTTTTTTAAATCCTTTCCCCTTTTGTGGGATTAAATACAGCCCTTTCTGGAACACTTCCCCATTCCATCCAAATCTCTCTCTCCGCCCCCCTCCTCCCCCTCACACACACACCCCTTGGCAACTCTGAAACATTTTGTATCCCTGTGCTCTGACACCCTTTTGAAACACTCTCCAGATTTGAACCTATCTTGCCACTAGAGAACGTCCTGGAGACCTCTCTGTAGCAATGGAGGAAATTAGCACTCTGAAGGTCTTATATTGATCCAGATTTTCAGAAACGGATCAAATAAAGCATTTTGTTATTAAGTATATGTGACAAGAACAAAAATACAATTTGACATTTATTCAAAGCCTTTCCAATTTCCCTCTCCAAAGCCTTCTAGAAAAGGTTCTGTCTCACTGGTGAGTCTTTCCTTTTTGGTACTTAACGTAGGAACTTAAAGGGAGAAAAAAGCTTCAAAGGACACCATCCACACACCGGAGAGCAGCAAGCGCTGCAGCCTTGGAGGAGGAAAGGGCTGAGCATCGGCAGCCTTGCTTGGGGCGGAGAAAGTGAAGACAGTAAAAATCCATCAGAGAGAAGGCCGCAGGTAGGAGAGCAACAACTACTTTTGTCTATTTCCAGGAGTATGAAAATCTGGAGGGACAAATTCAGCACACACAATGTGGAATTTACCCAGAGATGGAGTTTCACTTCCCTCCTGCTGAGTTTAGACTAGACTTACCAACTGCAAAAGATTAGAGTATGGAAATGGAAAAAAATCAGTAACTTTAACTATAAAAAAAAATGCCAAGCAACCCTTTAATCAATGAGTCAAATTAGCATCACAGTGAAAGGTCACTGCTATGTATCCCTGATGTGATGTGGTATGAGAAGGGACAGTCACCTTGGCGACCTTCCTCCAAAGCCCATATAATTATCAAGAAAAACATCAGACAATCCAAAATTGAAAGACGTGCCACAAAATGTCCCAACAATAACACTCAAAACTGTCAAGGTCGTGGAAAACCAGAAAAGGCTCAGAAACTGCCCAGGATGAGATGTGAAAACTGAATATGATGGTGGTATACTAGAACAGAAAAAGGACATTCACCAAAACTTATGTAATTTTTTAAAATATTTATTTTTTATTGGAAAGGAAGATTTATACAGAGGAGAAATAGAAAGATCTTCTGTCTACTGGTTCACTCCCCAAATGGCTGCAAAGGCCGGGGCTGAGCCAAACCAAAGCCAGGAGCCAGGAGCTTCTTCCAGGTTTCCCATGTGGGTGCTGGGTTACTAGAGACTATAATTAGACATCCTGATGCTAAGCATCAATTTGACCACTACGCAACAGAGGGGAGAGAACAGATATTGGGAGGCCAGGGGAGTTTCTAACACTCAGAGTTCCCAATATGTACCTAATTACTTCAGCAATTACTTTACCTCTTACGATTCTAACGTGACAAACACTTTCCGGTTTTGTACTGAATATTCAAGCCAAGATTATGATTAATGTAAGATGCAAAATTTCAAGATGCATTTATTTTGAGATGTGTAGATATTGTAGAACCATTACATAAGCAATTTTTAAGTTTTACAAATAGAATGATTTCCCAGTTACCATGTGAAAATTTGCCAACGTTCTGTCTTCAGATTTCTTATGTATGAAACCACTGTCCTACTATCCCAAATTAGAAAACAACCTCCTTCTAGAAAAGCAGTGCACTGTGCACAAATTCATAAACCCATGAAATAAATGTACCAAAAGTCCATGGCTTTCCCCATGGGAGTTCAATACCTTCTCTTGACTTTCCAGTGAAATCTTATCACATGATCAGGTACAATACCCTGTATATGCATAGTTATCACATTAACTTCACTGTTTGGCACTTGGTTTTGACCTTACACTAGCTTCCTAGATTGAAAGATCCTTGGAACTATTCTGGACTTAGTTTCTTTAATACTATTCACTGCCCTCAACTTACAAACTCTGGTTCTCTCCTCTCTTCAAGAACAAACCTATAAATTCAGTCCTAGGGTTTCTTGCTGATATTAACTCAGTTACTGTCACCCAGTCATTGGGAGGACACCTTTCCTGTCTAGTTTCACAATACATACCTATTTCTTTTCACTTTTCTCCTCTTTTTCTTTTTTCTAGGAAACCTCCCTTTCCTTCCCTTGTCTCTACTAATCTGGAGACTCTCATTGATTCTTACATATCCATTGCTGGGCCCTTACCCAGTGCTCCTCTACTAAGCCACAAAAATGCAATTATTCATAAATATCTCAATATATTCATTAATTTAGGGAAACTTCCCATTTAAACTTCAGTAGCTGTTGGAAAGATGTAGTTAGTTCCATTATCCACGGATGTAGCGGCCATGCAAAATACTTAAGTAATGCTTCAAACAAATTCCTTACAGAACATTCCTTACTTTAAAATACAGCAAAAGAAAGGGGCGGGGGGGGGGGGCGGAGGTGAACTGAAATGCAGCCAGCCATTCCAGGCCTGAACTGTCAAATTAGCAATCACAAATTCTTCAGGCTTTTGAGAAAACTGCAAGAGGACGAAACTCTCAAACCGTAAGGTGACTCCTGGCAATATTCACTACAGAAATTCTACTATTTGTTGCAACAAAGAAGCTTTTTTGCTTTGGTTTTTAGTTTACGATGAGTAAAAATGATAAGGACAGAGTGTCCTGGAGGGTAAAGAGTAGAAATCACTGTACAAATAGCTTTAGATACCCAACTCATCTTCACACTCGGAGGGAGAAAATAGAACAGGCTAGCCACTGAATGTGGAATGTAGAGGACGAGGAAACAGACCATCAGCTTCATGGCACCAACGTGAGCTTCAGTGTGGGGGTTCCAAAGCCCAGTGGCGTTTCTCTGCATCTTCTTTATATGCCTCCTCAAGGAATGGATTAACAAGGAAGCACAAGTCACGTTAATGGTAAACTGGACAAATGAGCTTAAGACTGAAGAGACCACCAAAAACACGATGTCTTCGTTGGGGTCAAAGGATGTGTCATTTCTCTCAGTCACAAGTGTAGAAGAAGCTAGTGTCTGTCTGAGCATGACATGTAGGAGAGTGGTAAAGGCAGAAATCATTACACAGGCTCCCAGGAACCAAGGGGTTTTGAGAGAGAGATTCCGTTTCAGCAGCAGAAACACAGTGGGTTGGAAACTAGAAATCTTCACACAGTACAAGACGTTGAGCAAGGTCACAAACCAGAGACTGGTATACTCAAAAAACATCCAACACACTAGCAAAAAGACGGAGATGTAGACCGACCTTTCCACTTTGGCAGCAATGTAGTAGCCCATATTCAGGAGAAACAATCCCAGCATTAGAAATCGAGTGATGCCCAAGCTAAATAGGATCATGTCAGAAGAAGAGAGTCTGTGGCTTTTGATCCAAGTCTTGTAACTGACCGCTGTGATAAACAGATTTGTGATGATCCCTACAAAATCAAAAATAAGCGAGACGATAAAAGCAGAGAAATAAAGCACCCGAAGCATTGTTACTTATTAAGGAGTCAGCAGTTGTGGTTCTGATGGTGGGAGTTAGAAGTACTGAGACACACCAGGAAGAAGGTCTCCCTTTTTATTTTTCCCTCAGTGTGGCGAATGAGCCACTGGTGGTCTAAGAGCCATCTGATTTTCCTACGATGCAAATCTTCTGAGGATTGCATTACTATTTCTTCAGCCATAACCTCTTCTTAGAAAGGCCTTACTGGAACAAGCCTAGGGGAACGAGGAAATCCTCTCCCATAACAGCAGAAGGGCTAGAGAAAAGTCATGGCAGGCTCCAAGGATTTCAAGTTCAAATTAGAGCACTCCAGTTAAGCACTGCTTCTGCCGTTTTCTTCATAGAAATCGCAGAATGTGGTGAGAAGCCCATACTTCGTTCCTACCCATACCTCTATTCTGCTGTTTTGTTTTCTTTAACCATTCTCCTGACCAGGCCAATGCCACTTCTTTATCTCTTTGCATCCATGATGATATCTAATTATCTAACCAAATTCGAGGCCCCTCCTCTTCTCTGAGAAGACTGGATGTGGTTTCTCCCCTTGTCTCCCCCTTTACCCCAGATACAGGAAGAGGAAAACAAAATGTGGAAAAAAGGTCTCACCCATTTTCTACTCCTGGACCCTTCCCATCCTAATCATCTATGTAAACTCAATCAAAAAAAAAAAAACATATGTTGGGGGCAAATGCCAGTATGCCAGCAGATGGAATCAGGTGACCTGTGCCCAAACGTGCATGGGCCCTGGGCAGGCAAGCAGGGCCCCAGAGTGGCCCAACACACTGCCTGAGGACTGGGCTTGGCGGTGAGCATACTCACAGATATGGGGGACTGTGGAATGCTCAGGGAAAGCAGTCTGGAGATGTGTAGCAGGAAAGACTGCTGAAAGAGAATGTGGCCAATGAAGAGTGACTTCCGGGGGACCTCCACTAACCAGGCTAATGCACCTGCAGATAAACAAGGGGGCTGAGAACAGCTGGTCTGGAGTAGAGAATTCAGGGGACCCTTCAGGGCCAAACCAATAAACCTGCCCATGAGGGAGACCTGAACTGGGCTTGTTGGTATCAATGACCATCTACTGGCATGTATGAAAGCCATCGCTGAAGGGCCTTCCTAGCAGAGTTCAACCACAGTACACACTAGTGAGTGTCAGGGTAGGAGAGTGAACCATATCAACCTGGGCCATGATACCAACCAGCATGTGCGAGATCCAGGTCTGGAAGCAGATTCTGTGATTATTTGAGGGCTCACCCCTGTAGGACTGCCATACCAGCTGCTTGGTTTGAAGGCTGGGAATGGAGATGAGCCAAGCTAAGCATGACCATGGAACTCACCAACAATCATGGGTATTGGGGCTGGGTACAGGCCAGGCTGGTCCAGGCTGCAGCAACCACAAGCAGACCCAAGAATTGGGTATGGCGCAGGCTTGGCTGAAACATCCACCAACACACACAAAAGCCAAGACAGGGTACAGACTGTGTCAGACAAAGGCCTAAAACACACTGGCACACATGAGATCTGGGTCTGAGAGTGGGCCTCATTGGGAGCAAAAGGGATACTCCAGCTGTGATGAGGTTCTACTAGTGAGTGCAAGAGCTGGAATTGGGCAGCAAAGTGTGCTGAACATGGCTGCAGCATCCCTCAGCCTGGGTGTGGACTAGGCTGAGGTGTGCCAAACTGGACTAGGCTCCAGCACCCACTAGTGCTTGCAGGAGCCAGGAGCCAGGATGGGTGTAGGATGAGCTAGGCTAGGTCTTGGGATCTGACCATATGAACGCTGGGTCTGAGGTGGGCCAGGTAAGGTTGGGCTGTAGCACCCAATGGAAAGAGCCAGAATAGGTATGGGCTGGTTAGGTAAGGGGACTATTCCTGCCAGGCAGGAACCAAGGCAGGAAGCAGTCCAGACCAGGCCAGGTTATAGTTACCCATCAGTTTACATGTGGGTCTAGGGTTAGCTCTGGGGTCAGGCAGGGCTTGGCCAGTTCATAACACCCACTGGCAGATGTGAGAACCAGGATGGGGTGCAAGACAGGCCAGGTTGAGCAACAACACAAGCCAGTTCACATTACGGCTGGGACTGTAGGCTGTCCAGGTTGGGCTAGGTACCCACCAGCCAATGCTGAATGAGGCAAGACATGCCAGACTGAGCAAGTGACCATATCCACTGGTGCATGCATGAGTAAGTGTGGGCTAAATGGGATTTGCCACAGCATTGGCTGGCAGGTGCTGGGACTGCAGGCCATTTCTATCTGGCTGGATCACAGAACCACCTGGAAAGTGCAAGATCCAGGCCTGGGAATGGGCCTTAGGGAAATTGTCAGCACTCCTCTGATGGGCTGAATTTCTCACTGGTGGGCATGGGAACTAGGGCTATGGGAAGGCCTGACTGGAGAAACAGTGGCACACACTGGCAAGGATGTGGGCTGGATAGTGGGGGTGGTCAGGCTGATAGGGTTCATTGACATGTACGAGAGCTGAATGGGATGCAGGACTGACTGGAATAGTCTGCACACACTGGCATGCGCAGGAACCAGGGCTGGGGGCAGGCCTGGTGGGAAGTTACTCCAACTAGGCTGCAGTTCCTGCTGGTGTGCATGAGGGTCAAATATGTGGTGGGCAAGGGTAGGCTGGACCACAGCATCCATTGGTTTGCCTATGAGATGGGGCTGGGGACAGAACTGACTCAGCAACTACAACAATCAATGTACGTGTGGGCCAATGAGGGTAACAGACTGAGTCAGACCCTGTACTGACTGGCACCTTGGAGTCAGATCAGGAGTCACCACAGGTGAGGTTGCTTTGGGGAATCCCCTGTGCAACCTACCACTGGACTCAGAATTCCAACCAGGAAGAAAATCACAGGATCTGTAGTCTAAGACTGTGAAGAGTATGTGTCAGAAGTGTATCTTCTCAGTTGCTGAAGCCTGTGCAGCAGACAGCATGTCCAGATGGGGAACATGACAATCAGTTCATTGAGGCCTACAGAGGACGTCTAGTACCATGGAGGGCAGAACAAACTGGACAGTTCTCCCAGCCAAGATTTGACAGTGAGTATCTGGGCTAGTGGCGACTCTGCGATGGATAATGTCAGCCAATGGATCTTGCCAGGATTTCCTCTACCCTGAAACAATGAAATCCACAGCATCTCAGGACTATCAAAACCACTTAAGCAGTACCCCTAGAACATGCTCCGCATCGGGGACCCTGCGATCACATCGGGTGCCTTCCCCTATGCCTGGGTACTGATGTGGTTGGGCTGCTGGGAGTAGCTTTCTCCCTTTCTCTCCCCACTTTCCCAGATACAGGGGGGAAAAAAAAAGATTGGAAACATTTGTCTCAACCACTTCCTATTCCTTAATCCTCCCACCATAACTGGTGGTCCACATGGGTATGCATCCTTCTTAACTATGTAAACATCATCAAAAATTAAATAATCTATTTTTTTAAAAAAGCATAGATTTCCAGTGTACCTCCTTTATACTGAAAAGCCACCAAGATTCTTACTAATTGCAGAAATGCCGGAAGAGGAAAACAGCAATTTTTTAACATTTACAGGTTAAAGAATTATGAATGAGTCACAAATTATGCTTCAAGTTTCAGCAGATACCTCTTCGAAAGGGAACTTGAGGTTGTGTCAGAATTAGGCATATTCATAGAAGCCTCATGAGGTAAGAATTTCAGAATAATCATCAAATTAACTTTTGGTTACTTATCCCTAACTGCCAAGTAATGTGACAATTCTTTCTGTCAGGTCAAAATATACCCTTTTCCAAAATAACAACAATAACAACAGAAATATTTTCTGAGTGTTTCCTTCACATAAGGCTCTGAGCACTACTTCTATGTCAATGCACTCATTTCTTCCACCACATCTCCATTTACAAACACAGAAAGTACAACAGAGACGGGTTAAGACAAGCTTTCATCAGGTCTCTCAGTTCCCGAGAACTGTCGTCAGGATCTGAGCACAGAACGTCTGGCCTCAGTGCACACATTCTCATTCAGACACTGCACACTTCAAAGCCAAAATATAATCACCGATACAGATTCAGAAATACCATCTCTTCTGGAATCCGAAATACCATTTGAATATGTTCACAGGCTTGAGAATTTTTAATATTAAACATATTTCCACTAACTGATATATCAAAAGTATTTAATGACAGGAAGTAAATCAGTGCTGAACAGACTTCAAATTAAATGAGGGTAACTTATTAAAGTTGCTTATGTTAAACTCAGTGAGATTTTGTGCTTTTAAAAATAGCATCTTGGTTCAAGGTCAAAAATGAAATAGATTTTTTTGGTCCAGTTTAGAAAATGTAAGTTTACTTTCACAAAATGGCCATAAAACGCAAGAGAAGATTGGAACCTGGAATCTACAGGTCTTGATTTTTACTCCAGTGCCTATTTTTTTTTTTTAAGATTTATTTCATTGGAAAGGCAGATAAATAGAGAGAAGGAAAGGCAGAGAGAAAGATCTTCCGTCCAATGATTCACTCCTCAAGCAGCCAAAGCTGCGACGATCTGAGGCCAGGAGCCCGGAGCTTTGGGCCATCCTTATCTGCTTTTCCAGGCCATAGTCAGGGAGCTGGATGGGAAGTGGGGCTGTGGAGATTAGAACCAGTGCCCATATGGAATCCTGGCACATGCAAGGCCAGGACTTTGGCTGCTAGGCTATGATGCTGGGACACTCCAGTGCTTTCTTCACCACACAATGTGTTGCAACAACTGCTGTCTTATGAGAACTGGTATTGCTACATGACAGTTAGGTTACAATATTCTTCATTTATTACAATGTCCTACAATGCTGGCACATGTGATCTTGTGATTCTCTGTTACCCTATAAAGCTGATGTTACATTAAAATAGTAGAAGAAAATAAACAGACAAGTAAAGTAATTCACATAAGGCCAAAGTCCTGGGAAATTGACATAACCGCAAGTCCAAACCACACTTAGAATATTGAAAAGCTTTTGCTGTTTCCCTAAAGTCCATGACACTCATTTACACTAGTCCCAAACCTAAGTTGACATGTACTCAAATCCCTAGTCCCAAGACGACAGTTGCTAAACTACAGCTCCATGTCTACACAGTAACAGTGTTCCCAATGCTTTAAAAGTTACTAAAACACAGCTACAGGACTACATAGCATTCTTGATATCTTACCATCACCAAACACTGTTCTAAACCTTCCAAAGCAATCAGAGAGAAGAAGCAGTGTCTCTCTTACTGTTGCTACGGAAGTGGCCGCCTGGGAATGTCAGGAAGACCCCGACAGACTTGAGCCAGGCCGGAGGTCTCCCGGGCTCTAGTCTCTGATCTCTAAGGGAAGCAGCACACCTTAGACCCACATTTCAGATGACACGACTCACACCGCAGCATCTCCATAAAGGCCTGCTTCAGCTTGTTGTTCCACAGGATGAGAATAAATGAGTGCACAGTAGGAGATGACATTGTAATTATTTCACCCACCATCTTCACTTTCTTAGTTCCTGGTAGGAAATAACTTGACGATAAAATTAAAAAGGCAAGAAAGTAGAGGAGAAAGAGGAAGAGGAAGGAGAAGATGAGTCTAATGGCCTTCTTGTGGGCCTTGGAGCTTTGATCTGAGGAGGTGACACCATTCTGCTGCATCTGCCGTGTGTGCCTCCCCAAGGAGAGAATGAGCAAAGCGCAGGCGGTCAGGGATAAAAACAAAGCAGGGGAATACCAAAGGCTCATAAGAACATGCATCACTTCGTATTCCCCTTTCTTCTTTTGGGCGACTTCAGTCATATTCTCTGAGTCACCGATTTCATTGAGGACAGAATATATCTTAAACTCATTGATCAGAGACATGGTACTGCCACAGGCAAAGAGCAGTGCACCCAACAGCATCCATCCCACCACCCTGGACACTCTCCACTTGAGCCAGAGGAACACAGCTTGGGGGAAAGTGGCGATTTTCAGGCAGTAGAGGACATGAAGACAGGTAGCAAGCCAGATGCTCAACTGGTTTATAAATGTCCAAAAAATATCAACAATTTGCATCATTATCCCTGAGTCATGAGTGCTGTAAGAAAACACTATTAAAAGACCATCAATGAAGAAAATCCACAGCAGAACAATCCTGGAAAGGGCCAGGTTGGTGATGAGAAAGTCAGACATAGAGATTCTCCTGTTCTTGAACCAGCTGCTGCCATTGACCAAGCCAATGAAACTATTGCCAAGAATGCCCACAACGAACTGAGTGACAGACAGAACTAGGGACAGCCACTCACTGAATCCCAACATGTCAGCGATCAGATAGCTCTGCTCTTTGTTCTTTCGGTTGATACACGCAAACTCCTGGAATCTCTTCACTCTGCCCACTGTCTCACAGACTCTCTCTTTCTCTCTTGTCTGCCCAATTTAGTCTGTTGCAGACTACAGTTTAATGAGTCTTCCCCGGTTCTCTAAGGTTAATCTGTTCTCTTCACAGCGGACAAAGCTTGTCACATTTCCTCTATGATCCTACATTCAGCTCTTTGCCAAAATGCAAATGGAGTAGTATCTAGTTTCAGCAAGAAGGAAGAGATTAGAGGCATAAAAACCATAGGACTTGGAATGCATTTCAAAAGGGGAAGGGTGTGGAGCCAAAAGAAAATGAGTGGCTCCAAAAGGGAGAAGCAGAGAATCATTTTTGGAGAGCAAAAAAAGCTTTCTTCTTTAGGAGGGAGGACTTAGGCATAAACAGAAAAGCAGAACTATCAGAATTCCATCAAAACAGATGAGCCATTACCCTGAAAGAAGCTTTAGATGAAAACAGTTTAAAAGCTCAATGTCACTTTCCCAGGGTTAAAATGAGAAGGCACGACCTTTCAGATGTAACAAACAGAGGTTCCAAATAATTCTTCACTAGGGAATCATATCATGAGAAATGACAAATTATCAGGATATATGAGCAGTAACTACAGATTTGCAGCATATAAACTAATAAAACTGTGGCCTTTTCAAGTACACAATCACTAACGATAAATCAGTAGTAGTTCAGGCTGACAAACCACATACCAATCTATCCACTAAAAGAGCCTCGTATTTCTAAGAGTGCCTGACAGAATTTGACTATGGGACCAGTGTGGTGGCTCAACTGGCTAATCCTTAGCTGTAAGTGCTGGTATCCCATACAGGCAGATTTGTATTCCAGCTGCCCCACTTCCCATCCAGCCTCTTGCTTGTGGCCTGTGAAAGTAGCAGACGATGGCTCGAGTCTTCGAGACCCTGCAGCCACAAGGGAAACCTGGAAGAGGCTCCTAACTCCTGGCTTCCAATCAGCTCAGTTCCAGCTGTTGTGGTCACGTGGGGAGCGAACCAGGGGATGGAAGATTTTTTTTTCCATCTTTCCTTTTCTTTGTAAAACTGCCTTTCCAATAAGAATAAACAAATCTGAAAAAAAAAATTGACTATGATCAAATGTAATAATTTTTATATGGCTATGTGTATGTGGATGCATGTATGTGTCACAATATAAATATACATGTACACATTATGTATACATATATAATCTGAGAATACAAGGGCTTCATAAAACCGTATCTCCTCTTTCTACTTGAGTGCTATTCTAACATTTTCTCTCATATCCTATTTTTCAATGTTGCTTATATCACATCTCACATCATTGATTTGATAATCCACAAATGAGTTGTAACAAATACTATTTTTAAGCACTGACCTGAAGGAGGAAGAAGGAAATCAAAGCCATCAAGATAGAAAAGTGGTCTGTTCTGGCAACATTAGCCAACGACAGGACATACCCCTAGGTCCTTCAAGAGCACATCTCGAGTGACAGAGGATAAACCTGAAGGACTGAAATCTAGTCTCATCAGAACAAGATAAACCTCTGTGGTGTCCTGGCTTCATAGAGTTGAGCCTGTGGGCAGTCTGAGCCATTAGCCTGCAAGTGGGCTGGTTACAGGGGCAGGCTGGGCTGGGTTGAGCTAGGCTACAGTACCTACTCAGATTGAGAGCAGTACCCCTTAGCAAGGTCAAAATTCAGGGCTGGGAGCAGGCCTGGTAGGGAAACTGTGGGTACTCCCCTTCTAGACTGCAGCTCCCACTGGTGAGCACACAGCCAGAGCTGGAGGCAGGCCAGGTTGGACAAGGTGGCAGCAACCACTGGCAGACATATGGGCTGGATCTGGGGGCAACCAGATAGGACACAGGATGGGCCAGGTTAGGCTGCAGCACCTGCCCACACACACAGAAAATAGGGGGTGGGGCAGGCCTGGTAGGAATTATCAGGGGTTGCCCCAACTAGGCTGTAGTACCCATTGGTCAGTATAAGGGACAGGCCTATGGTGGCTGCACTGGGCTAGATCACAGCACCCATTGGATCACCCAGATGGGAATGGGGGCAGAACTAACCAGGTTCTATAGCCATGGTATTTGTGCATGGTTTTTTTTTTTTTTTTTTGGAAAAATGGAATCACAAAGTAAGTTTATTTTAGTACAAAAAAAAAAAAAAAACCCACACACATTTCTCCCACTTTGTTATGGCCTTTCTGATGACCCTTGTCAGGGCAGAGAGCAGGCTGGGTCTGGGTCCACACCCTGCCCTGAGGCTTACGGGCAGGGTGGCCCTGGACAAGAAACCTGACCTGTCAAGAGCTTTGGCATCGTGACCTGTGAGAGCCAACGAGACCACAGGCCGTTAATTCTAACCCTGCTTTACTCAGTGTTTCTATTTTGAAGGCAGGGCACCCCCAGCAGCCATGCCATACCACCAGCATGCATGTCTTGCAGGGTTCCCCGGCTGGATGGTGCAGGTGACAGATCAAAACTGACCCTGTACTAATTGGTGCGCGTAACAGTCTGAGATCACCCCAGGCAACAAATCAAACCTTAGCTGCAGGGAAAATCACAAGATACGTGGTTCGACCTAGAAGCATCTGCATCATGTCTGGGTCTCTTCAGTTGCTGAGGCCCATGCAGTGAATAGTATGCATACAGCGCACATGACAGCCAGCTCATGTAGGCCAGCAGGAGATGTCAACTACCTCATCAAATGATGGAAAGCAGAACAGGCTGACCAAATTTTGCAGCAAGTCTCTGGATCTGTGGATGCACTAAGGTGGACTTGATCAATCAAAAGACCTTGAAAGATCTTTTCAACTCTGGTATAGCAAAGACATTGATTCAGAATGAGTCACCCCAGGCAACACCCTCGGAACATTCTTCCCCATACTGGGGTCTCTGATGCGTCATCAAATCACTTTTCCCCATCCCCAGATAATGTCGTTTCCCCCACTTCAGAGACAGGAGGAAAAAAAAAATACTAAGACAATTAGCCCACTCACCTTCCTCCATACCTCAATCCTCCCCACTACACAGAGGCCCAAATGGGCATGCATCCCTCTCAACTACGTAAACATTATTAGAAGAGCTGCCATTGACATAGTTTTCATTCTATACATATTTTACTTTTATCCTAGTTGAAGCAGGGGGTGAAGGCTCCAATCTATTGCCTCTTTCCCCAAATGGCCAGGGCCAAGTTAGCCAGGTAAAACTGAACACCTGGGACTCAATTCTCCCACACGGTTGGCAGGGAAAACTAGCCATCGCCGACTGCTCACTACCCAAGGGTCTGTTTTGGCAGGAAACTGGTGTTAGGAGTCAGAATCAGGAATGACACCCACACACTCCAGTGCGAGATGTGGACAGCCTAATCACCAGGCTAAGTAACGCGTGCTCCTGAGCTAAGGCTTTAAAACTAAGTGAGGTAAAATAAAGGGAATTCCAGGCACTAGAAACATAGAAGGGACAGCAATGATGATAAATTATCTATTAGTGTAGCAGACTATCTAGGCTAGAAAATAATAGCTACAGTATTGAATTATGTGTGTACATCATTTTAAGGTATCTACAATAATTCACTTAGTTTTCAGAACATGAGACAGGTTCTATTATTATCCTCCTTTTTAGAGAAAGCTAAGGTTTAATGACTCACAAAGCTAGTAAGGAGAAAAGCTGAAATTCCACTCCAGGAAGACTCCCTTCAGAATTCTGTCTTAACTGACAACCCTACAGATCACCTATGGTATTGTTCACAAAACAAACAAATAAATAAATAAGGCTGTGAAACAGTAATATTAGGTCAGGGTGAAAGACATGACTTCAACCAGAAGCAAAAGGTCATGTATTCAAAGACCTGCGGGTAAAAAATTGATGTGGACTTGGAGAAAATGCAAGAATGTATGAATTTTTGAGAGTTAGATTTTAGTGGAAAAACACAAGCAAGTGGCTTACACACGGTAAATGTTTACTTGTATCCCCTAAGGAAGTCCAGCAGCAGAACGTCCAAGCCCTCAAAGTTCCAGGCCGTCACAGACCCCAGCTTCTCCCACGTGGCATCCTGAAGGCTGTCTCTGGATCCAAGATGGCTGCTAGAGCCTCAGGCATCACAGGCACATTTCACAAAGGGAACCCGAGGGTGAAGGCCTGGAGAGGCACAAGGCTTGGGTCTCTCACCAGACTCCGCCCCCTTAAGAACCTTCCTGGAAGCACAACCAAATGATTTCTGCCCACACTCTCGGCAATCCCAACAGAAAACGAGACTAGGAACGTGCACTCCATCACCCCGAAAAAAAGACAGGTCACAGAAACACAGAGGCAACAACAGATACATGCTTTTATTTTATTTATTTCCTTACTTATTTTTACAGTTTATAAAGCTTTCTCATCCTGGGGTCCTGGAGTACAAAGAGCCTGCCTCTCCCAGTCTTGGTGAATTTGGACAGATCAAAACAACTTGTCAGAACATACCTTTGATATGCAAACTGACTCCCATCTCTGTCTTTGGCACTTTGGCAATCTAAAATACTACACACTGGCCTTCGACCACCTCCAGGAAGGTACTTAAGCATGAAGATTCTATTAGAATCCACAGCCCAGAGCAGGCCAAATTGTTCCAAACAGCATAATCCTCAACTTGCTCAGCTCGCCTGGCCCACGTTCCTCTGCCCACACTCCCTCGTTGACACTGTCCTGCATCTGAGCCTAACCTGGTGCTTCCCCACACGGCTCGCCATGACACGACACACTCTCCTCTAAGGACCACGTTCCCTTCAGCAGCTGTCTTCATGTCTGCCATCAAATCACACATGACTAACAAATCCAGATACATTTAAAGTATGTCGGCAACTGTGCCACACTATGATTTTCCACAATAGAAAGTTGGAATCCTGGAAAAATTTGAAAATCATCTCATAAATCCTCTTTGGAAACAACAGAAGACCTCTCTACTTTCCAAATAAAATCAAACTGAAATCTGATCAATCGATTTGAATCTCAAATGTGCCCTAGGATCCCACTCACCCCACTGTGTAAACCTTCTAGGGTTATCACAGTATCTCCCTGTCTCTAGGGCTTCCCTCTCCCGACCTGTCACTCTGTCGTTCTTCTAAAGCAAGCGCATAGTTCTGAGCAGACAACCATCTGTGGCTCCTCACTGCCAAGATCCTCTTCAAGTTCTCTGGCCAGACTCACTTCCCACGTACCATCTTTCTCTGCTTCACAGGCTTCAAGGTTTCTGATCTGCCTTCATGTTATTTCCTCTACTGAGAACTGGTCCTCTCCCTCGCACCACATCATGTCGAGGCAGAGGCTCCTGCTGAGCCACCTGCCGCCCAGGCCCCATCTCTCTAAATTGTGAAATCCCTTCAACACAAGAGTCTGATACATGCATCCCCTACACCCAGGTTCTGCATGAGAGAAGGACACACAGCACATGCTTAGTTGACCTGGAGGCGTAAATGCAAAAAACCACCGAGATGATTACAAATATATGCGGAAGACTAAAAACCATCAAAAAAACAACATCAATGTGAAATACTCAGTAATGCAGACGTCAATCCAACCACAAATGTATGATAAACTACCCTCTGGTGAGCATTCTCTCAAGAACACCTTACAAGGTTTGGTAAGAGGGGCAAAGGGACTGAAAGAATGATGCAGCCTATAAAACTGCAACTACAACAGCCAACATGTATTGAGCACTGTCTGCCTTTTCAATCAAAATAAATCATCTTAAAACACTCATCTTTACAATAAAACACTTGTTACCAAATAATTTATCTTACTGTTTGCTGTGCTCTTTCCAGCAGCCTTACAAGGCAGGCACTGCCATCCATGCTGGACTCAGGACAAAATCAGAAAAGACCGAGCAGAGGAACTCAGTCCACCAAATGACACTCAGCTGGTGAATAGAACAGCAAGGACCCAAACCCATCCTACCTGAACAGCTTGAGCTCTGAA